CTACATGTCTGTGTCGCCGTCGTAGGCCAGCGTGAGAGGTTTCAGGCGGTTGTTGTTCTGCTGCCTCGCTCTGGGAGGTCTCTTTGGCTTTTTGCTGCGGAACAAAGAGAACAAAAGGAAAAATTACACGTTTGTTCAACTTAAATGTACTGGGAAACTGTGGTGTCTGGTCAGGATCAGAAATCAGAATGTCAAAACTCAGTGAGATCTGATATGACAAAAAATAATCATGAACAAACTCAAACAAGTCTTAACATATAAAGACAATAATAGTAGTCTGTAGTCTTTGAGTTCATCAAAAGCATCTAGTATGTATTATTGTATTTAGAAAAAATGTGAATATTCCAATAAAGACAAATAGCGGCTGTTCAATGTAGCTAACTTCTATTTCAAATCTGGTCAGAGGCAAAAACACACATATAAATATAAACCAGTTCCGAGTTTAAGTCGTGAGTTTTCTTTCCAACATGTACTTTTCCATCACCAGAGAACACCACAGTCTTTGTTCCAGTACAGAGTCTAACACTGCAGTTACACAGAATAACCAGCAGAGGGCGACACACGAGCGTGAGGCTGAAGGGGAATGAACATGGAACATTTGATGAATGATGTGAGGGTTTTGAACAGAGCGGAACAGATATAACCCAAGAGAGGGTTAGGGCTAGAACTGCTTCTGGAGAGAGAAGAGAGAAGTCACTATTTTCAAACATAATATCAATCTAGATTATTCAACTTCTACTTCAGGACTATGGATGAGTAAACATAATAATAATAATAATAATAATAATAATAATAATAATCTATACTTCAAGCATAGAGTGTTGCTGTTCTTCTTGAAATAAGCACTTAAGTTATCTTGTGTGTTCTCCTCATTCTGCTGCTCTGTAACTTCTAATACAACACTGACATTTCCCCGACGGATCTTCTTCATCTGAATTTGTATTTCAATAATTGATTAGTTGTGGTTCATAGTTGAACCAGGACACTAACATTCAACAACATTTATGGACATTGCTCCACTCCCCCATTGTCATTGTCATTATCTCTGCTCTCCAACCACATCTGCTGAGAGGAACCCCTGTCTCTGTGTGTGTGTGTGTGTGTCTGTATTTGTGTTTATGTGTGTGTGTCTCTATCTGAAGTTCAATCAGGAGACACTTTCAGAACTCAATTTGAACTCTTGTCTTTTGTGAAAGAATACGCTTGTGCTCTCTCTGTGTGTGGAGCCCATCAACCTTCGCCAAATAACACCGGCACTCTCTCTCTGGTATCTCTCTCTTGTCTCTCTGTCCGACCTCTCTCTCTCTGGTCTCTCTCTTGTCTCTCTGTCCGACCTCTCTCTCTCTGGTATCTCTCTTGTCTCTCTGTCCGACCTCTCTCTCTCTGGTCCCTCTCTCTTGTCTCTCTGTCCGACCTCTCTCTCTCTGGTCTCTCTCTTGTCTCTCTGTCCGACCTCTCTCTCTCTGGTATCTCTCTTGTCTCTCTGTCCGACCTCTCTCTCTCTGGTATCTCTCTTGTCTCTCTGTCCGACCTCTCTCTCTCTGGTATCTCTCTTGTCTCTCTGTCCGACCTCTCTCTCTCTGGTATCTCTCTTGTCTCTCTGTCTGACCTCTCTCTCTGGTATCTCTCTTGTCTCTCTGTCCGACCTCTCTCTCTCTGGTCTCTCTCTTGTCTCTCTGTCCGACCTCTCTCTCTCTGGTCTCTCTCTTGTCTCTCTGTCCGACCTCTCTCTCTCTGGTCTCTCTCTTGTCTCTCTGTCCGACCTCTCTCTCTCTGGTATCTCTCTTGTCTCTCTGTCCGACCTCTCTCTCTCTGGTCTCTCTCTTGTCTCTCTGTCCGACCTCTCTCTCTCTGGTATCTCTCTTGTCTCTCTGTCCGACCTCTCTCTCTCTGGTCTCTCTCTTGTCTCTCTGTCCCGACCTCTCTCTCTCTGGTATCTCTCTTGTCTCTCTGTCCGACCTCTCTCTCTCTGGTCTCTCTCTTGTCTCTCTGTCCGACCTCTCTCTCTCTGGTCTCTCTCTTGTCTCTCTGTCCGACCTCTCTCTCTCTGGTCTCTCTCTTGTCTCTCTGGTCGACCTCTCTCTCTCTGGTATCTCTCTTGTCTCTCTGTCCGACCTCTCTCTCTCTGGTATCTCTCTTGTCTCTCTGTCCGACCTCTCTCTCTCTGGTCTCTCTCTTGTCTCTCTGTCCGACCTCTCTCTCTCTGGTATCTCTCTTGTCTCTCTGTCTGACCTCTCTCTCTCTGGTCTCTCTCTTGTCTCTCTGTCTGACCTCTCTCTCTCTGGTATCTCTCTTGTCTCTCTGTCCGACCTCTCTCTCTGGTCTCTCTCTTGTCTCTCTGTCCGACCTCTCTCTCTCTGGTATCTCTCTTGTCTCTCTGTCCGACCTCTCTCTCTCTGGTCTCTCTCTTGTCTCTCTGTCTGACCTCTCTCTCTGGTCTCTCTCTTGTCTCTCTGTCCGACCTCTCTCTCTCTGGTATCTCTCTTGTCTCTCTGTCCGACCTCTCTCTCTCTGGTATCTCTCTTGTCTCTCTGTCCGACCTCTCTCTCTCTGGTATCTCTCTTGTCTCTCTGTCCGACCTCTCTCTCTCTGGTATCTCTCTTGTCTCTCTGTCCGACCTCTCTCTCTCTGGTATCTCTCTTGTCTCTCTGTCCGACCTCTCTCTCTCTGGTCTCTCTCTTGTCTCTCTGTCCGACCTCTCTCTCTCTGGTCTCTCTCTTGTCTCTCTGTCCGACCTCTCTCTCTCTGGTCTCTCTCTTGTCTCTCTGTCCGACCTCTCTCTCTCTGGTATCTCTCTTGTCTCTCTGTCCGACCTCTCTCTCTCTGGTCTCTCTCTTGTCTCTCTGTCCGACCTCTCTCTCTCTGGTATCTCTCTTGTCTCTCTGTCCGACCTCTCTCTCTCTGGTCTCTCTCTTGTCTCTCTGTCCGACCTCTCTCTCTCTGGTATCTCTCTTGTCTCTCTGTCCGACCTCTCTCTCTCTGGTCTCTCTCTTGTCTCTCTGTCCGACCTCTCTCTCTCTGGTCTCTCTCTTGTCTCTCTGTCCGACCTCTCTCTCTCTGGTCTCTCTCTTGTCTCTCTGTCCGACCTCTCTCTCTCTGGTATCTCTCTTGTCTCTCTGTCCGACCTCTCTCTCTCTGGTATCTTCTCTTGTCTCTCTGTCCGACCTCTCTCTCTCTGGTCTCTCTCTTGTCTCTCTGTCCGACCTCTCTCTCTCTGGTCTCTCTCTTGTCTCTCTGTCCGACCTCTCTCTCTCTGGTCTCTCTCTTGTCTCTCTGTCCGACCTCTCTCTCTCTGGTCTCTCTCTTGTCTCTCTGTCCGACCTCTCTCTCTCTGGTCTCTCTCTTGTCTCTCTGTCCGACCTCTCTCTCTCTGGTCTCTCTCTTGTCTCTCTGTCCGACCTCTCTCTCTCTGGTCTCTCTCTTGTCTCTCTGTCCGACCTCTCTCTCTCTGGTCTCTCTCTTGTCTCTCTGTCCGACCTCTCTCTCTCTGGTATCTCTCTTGTCTCTCTGTCCGACCTCTCTCTCTCTGGTCTCTCTCTTGTCTCTCTGTCCGACCTCTCTCTCTCTGGTCTCTCTCTTGTCTCTCTGTCCGACCTCTCTCTCTCTGGTCTCTCTCTTGTCTCTCTGTCCGACCTCTCTCTCTCTGGTATCTCTCTTGTCTCTCTGTCCGACCTCTCTCTCTCTGGTATCTCTCTTGTCTCTCTGTCCGACCTCTCTCTCTCTGGTATCTCTCTTGTCTCTCTGTCCGACCTCTCTCTCTCTGGTCTCTCTCTTGTCTCTCTGTCCGACCTCTCTCTCTCTGGTATCTCTCTTGTCTCTCTGTCCGACTCTCTCTCTCTGGTCTCTCTCTTGTCTCTCTGTCCGACCTCTCTCTCTCTGGTATCTCTCTTGTCTCTCTGTCCGACCTCTCTCTCTCTGGTCTCTCTCTTGTCTCTCTGTCCGACCTCTCTCTCTCTGGTCTCTCTCTTGTCTCTCTGTCCGACCTCTCTCTCTCTGGTATCTCTCTTGTCTCTCTGTCCGACCTCTCTCTCTCTGGTATCTCTCTTGTCTCTCTGTCCGACCTCTCTCTCTCTGGTATCTCTCTTGTCTCTCTGTCCGACCTCTCTCTCTCTGGTATCTCTCTTGTCTCTCTGTCCGACCTCTCTCTCTCTGGTATCTCTCTTGTCTCTCTGTCCGACCTCTCTCTCTCTGGTATCTCTCTTGTCTCTCTGTCCGACCTCTCTCTCTCTGGTATCTCTCTTGTCTCTCTGTGACCTCTCTCTCTCTGGTATCTCTCTTGTCTCTCTGTCTGACCTCTCTCTCTCTGGTATCTCTCTGCTCTCTGTCCGACCTCTCTCTCTCTGGTATCTCTCTTGTCTCTCTGTCCGACCTCTCTCTCTCTGGTATCTCTCTTGTCTCTCTGTCCGACCTCTCTCTCTCTGGTATCTCTCTTGTCTCTCTGTCCGACCTCTCTCTCTCTGGTATCTCTCTTGTCTCTCTGTCTGACCTCTCTCTCTCTGGTATCTCTCTTGTCTCTCTGTCTGCACTCTCTCTCTCTGGTATCTCTCTTGTCTCTCTGTCTGACCTCTCTCTCTGGTATCTCTCTTGTCTCTCTGTCCGACCTCTCTCTCTCTGGTATCTCTCTTGTCTCTCTGTCCGACCTCTCTCTCTCTGGTATCTCTCTTGTCTCTCTGTCCGACCTCTCTCTCTCTGGTATCTCTCTTGTCTCTCTGTCCGACCTCTCTCTCTCTGGTATCTCTCTTGTCTCTCTGTCCGACCTCTCTCTCTCTGGTCTCTCTCTTGTCTCTCTGTCCGACCTCTCTCTCTCTGGTCTCTCTCTTGTCTCTCTGTCTGACCTCTCTCTCTCTGGTATCTCTCTTGTCTCTCTGTCCGACCTCTCTCTCTCTGGTCTCTCTCTTGTCTCTCTCTGTCTGACCTCTCTCTCTGGTATCTCTCTTGTCTCTCTGTCTGACCTCTCTCTCTGGTATCTCTCTTGTCTCTCTGTCCGACCTCTCTCTCTCTGGTCTCTCTCTTGTCTCTCTGTCTGACCTCTCTCTCTCTGGTATCTCTCTTGTCTCTCTGTCCGACCTCTCTCTCTCTGGTCTCTCTCTTGTCTCTCTGTCCGACCTCTCTCTCTCAGGTCTCTCTCTCTCAGGGCTCTTTCTTACAAGTTTCCAATAATATGAAGGCAGTATGTTGTGTTCTGAAAATATGGGACAAACACCATGTATTATTCACAAATCATAAGTTAGGTACCCCAGCTTTAAAGACAAGTAGAATCCCAGTGAAACAAGTATTTTAAGAACAACGCCTTTGAACAACCAGGAACATGTTTCTGATTTAAACACAAATCTACGCTAGGTCAGCAAACACTACCACTCTACTGCCAACTTAAAATCATGGTATTTCGTCCTGCTGGGAGCTCGAACCCTTCAACATAAAATAAAACACATTCTGAGATACACACAGATCCCTGGTTTATTGCAGGGGTGATGTGTTCTAATAATAACCCACAATGGTTACTCCACGGCGACTCCAAAACTTGGAGTCGCCGTTTTAAGGCTACTCCCCCCCACACACTTTATACAGAGAGAGAGACCAGGAGAGACACCAGAGAGAGAGCCCAGAGAGAAAGAGCCCAGAGAGAGAGAGCCCAGAGAGAAAGAGCCCAGAGAGAGAGCCCAGAGAGAAAGAGCCCAGAGAGAGAGAGCCCAGAGAGAGAGATGAGAGAAAGAGACCGAGAGAGACAAGAGAGAGAGATCAGAGAGAGAGAGAGGCAAGGAATACAGATTCCTGTAACTCATGTTATACTTGTGGTCATATGACGTTGTTGGAGTAAACATGTGGCGCATGTGACCCATGCAGTGAAAAACGTCATAGTGAGGGACCAGTGTAAAAACATTAGCTCTAAATTACTATTAAATTGCACATTTGAATACAGACATGGCTATCTATCGCTCATTCCAGGACGAAATACCAAGATTTTATTGAACCCCACTGCTCACTACATCCGACCTGTCCTCTCCTGGGGCCTCAAAGGCAGTGGGCGGGGCTTGCACTGGCGGTCCGGGGTCATATGGCATCACAGGTGGCGCTCACGAGTCTGCGCTGCTCTGGGCCTGCTCCCTGCACTCGGGGCAGGTGTACAGGACGTGGTGCGGGTCGGGCCCCTCCCAGTGCGCTGAGCCATTGGGGATGGCGCCATTAGCCGCAATGCTAACGGCGGCCTCCTGCGCGCGTAGTGAGCGGTGCAGTTGGGCACAATGGTGGCTGCACGCACACGGTGACAGACACATGTTATGAGGTTATGAGAAGAGGCAGGCTGTACAGAATCCCAGGGAGATATTTCTGGGTGATGACTGGGTGATGACTGGGTGATGACTGGGTGATGACTAGATGATGACTGGGTGATACTGGGTGATTACTGGGTGATGACTGGGTGATACTGGGTGATTACTGGGTGATGACTGGGTGATGACTGGGTGATGACTGGGTGATGACTGGGTGATGACTGGGTGATGACTAGATGATGACTGGGTGATACTGGGTGATTACTGGGTGATGACTGGGTGATACTGGGTGATGACTGGGTGATGACTGGGTGATGACTGGGTGATGACTGGGGATGACTGGGTGATGACTAGATGATGACTAGATGATGACTGGGTGATACTGGGTGATTACTGGGTGATGACTGGGTGATGACTGGGTGATGACTGGGTGATGACTGGGTGATGACTGGGTGATGACTGGGTGATGACTGGGTGATGACTAGATGATGACTGGGTGATGACTGGGTGATACTGGGTGATGACTGGGTGATGACTGGGTGATGACTGGGTGATGACTGGGTGATGACTAGATGATGACTAGATGATGACTGGGTGATACTGGGTGATGACTGGGTGATGACTGGGTGATGACTGGGTGATGACTAGATGATGACTGGGTGATGACTGGGTGATACTGGGTGATGACTGGGTGATGACTGGGTGATGACTGGGTGATGACTGGGTGATGACTGGGTGATGACTAGATGATGACTAGATGATGACTGGGTGATACTGGGTGATTACTGGATGATAACTGGATGATGACTGGGTGATTACTGGGTGATGACTGGGTGATGACTGGGTGATGACTGGGCGATGGCCAATGGGGAGACCATCATAGAACTCACCAGGCGAGGTAAATCATAGACACTATGAACATGAGGAGCACCAGGGCCCCTGCTGCTACACCGTACACCCACATCTTCAGCTTCCCATCTGCACACAACACATGGGGTTAAACTGAGGCTGAAGAGGGAGGGGGGTCTGTGCTCTGATCCTGAAGCCCTCGGCCCTTCTATGCAGGTTTAGACACTTCAGTTCAGTTATGTTTGGTGTGTCTACTGCCCTCTGCTGGAAAAAACAGAGTACAGCATCAAACTTATGGGTCCATGTATACCGCAAGCTTTTCTGCAAGGAGAGTCAACTTACATATAGTTCATTTTCAAAACTACAAGAGATTAGAAAAAGTTATTCCTAAAATACTTTCAAACGAGCAGGCCTCCTGAAGAAAGACTAAAGTAGACAAACCACAGTTTACAAAAAGTGATTAGATTGGACCAAAAATGGATAAAAATATGTATTGCATGTAAATACAGTGCACACTTATACAAACACACACACACACTCGCAAACACACACACAGACACATACAAAACACTCACACACACACACACACACACACACACACACACACACACACACACACACACACACACACACTCACACACACACACAAAACACACACAGACATACAGAGAGGCACATAGAACCAAACACTCACACACGCAAACAAGTAAACTCACACAAAGACACACTCGCAAACGCACCCACACAAACACACACTTTTGCAAACACACACAACACTATTGCTCTCCCTCTCATACACACACACACACACACACACAACCACATTCCCCTCTCACCAGCTGTGTAGGGCTGCAGGTACCAGGCCCGCCCCCCTCTCCCCGGCTGCACAGTGGAGCTCTGCGTGGTGTCCAGGGCGCGGCTGTTCTCCAGGTCGGCGTCGGGAGCCGTGGGCAGCTCCAGCACCGGAATGGGAGCACAGCGCAGCAACTCGCCCTCCACAGAGAGCAGCTCGGTGAAGCCCTCTTCGCACACACACACGCCGCTCTGCAGGGGGAAACACCACACACACATTCACCTCTGACACAACAAAACACATTTAGTCCTTTCTGATAAAAATATGTTTCTCTGGTCTTTTTTGTGTCTCTTTCTCTTTTGTCTTTCTCTGGTTCCTCTCTGATCTTTCTCTGTGATCCTTCTCGCTTCTCTCTCTGAGCTCTGTCTCTGGTCTTTCTAGCTGGTTTCTCTCTGATTTCTCTAGTCTCTAGCTGGTCTCTCGCTCTGGCCTTTAACTGTTTTCTCTGTGATCCATATCTCCATGTCTCTTGCTTCTCTCTCTCTCTTTCTCTCTGAGTGACTGTGGTTTCTCTTATGATCCATGAGAATATTGATCTAAGGTGACGACAGATTGTTCCTGACTTCTAGAGATTATAAATCAAACTCTTGTCTTCACTCAGATGGCTCAAAGAGACAGTGTATGACTTTGATCAGCCTTGTGTACAAACTTGCCTTGCCTTAATATGGCAAACACAGACGTTCATGTGAGAAGTTGAGGAGATCTGTATTTCTCACCAGATGTCTTAGTGAGAAATAACACCTCAGTACTTCAAGTTTGTGTGACTGGAAGTCCTGAAGATTGGTCTTTACAAATGATTTGTGTACTAAAAACAGGGTCAGAGATCTCCAGATTTGGATCGTTGGAATCACGCATGTTCCTTCACATGACGTCACTGTGAACGAACAAAATTTTCTCCCACTGGGTTTCAGAGTTTTTCTTGCAGATGCAGGAGGGTCTGTTAGACTATTAGTGGTCAAACAAAAAGGACAGTGGAGGTGATCCAGGACACTCTACATTCTGCAACATGTATGGATTACTTATCAACATTCATGGACATTGGTCAACTCCCCCTATGGACCAATACCTATGTGTACTATATTTATTGTGTTTTAACTATTTGATTCTTTCATCTGTGTTGGCTATTTCAACGGTTTTGTTATATCCTTTGAGATAACTACTGTAATTTAGGGCTATCCTAGAATACATTGAATTGAATTGTTACCTGTGAGCAGAAGGAGCGTGGCATGAGGCAAGGGGGGTCACAGGCGCCGCTGTCTGCTCCAGGACTCAGGGCTGGGCAGCCTCCTGTGCACAGCAGACACACAGCCTCTCAGAGCTCCAGGATACGACAAAGGGGGTTAGCGGCCCCTCAATACAACAGAGAGAAGATTTGAGGTCCCAGTATACATCACATAAGTCAACCTCCTGTTAGAGGCCAGTATTTCTTCATTCTGTTTAATGCACTGTGATTATTCATGATTCTTAATCCCTTGTATGATTTTAATGTTTCCGTTTTTCTTTTGTTAAGCATCTTGAAGTCCTTTGTGTATGAACTGTCTATCCAAATACATTTTCCTCACCACTACCTGTAATGTGTAACATTTTCCTCCACATTGAATAACAGCTGCTTGCATGAAACAAGAAATTGTCAAAAAAGAACAATAACCAAGGTTTATCCAGTGAATAGAACTGAAAAATCATGATGATTCTAGACATGTGAAAACAGGGGGAACATGCAACGTCCACACAGGATGTAGATCTATGAGACGAACCAGAGACGTTGAGTCCGTCTGAGCGCTCACACCAGATCAGTGTCCGAGAGTCAGGGGTCATGCTGCTCCTCCACTTGTACTCAAAACAGTCTCCTCCTGAAACAACAGAGAAGCAGGACGTACCTGGTTTCACAAATGAACAAAGTAGAACCAGCTTCCAACACAACCACAGACTATTTACAGATGGACAATGCTAACCCCCTAGCTCAGCCAATCCCAAACTCAGTAACAACGAGGCCCCCTTAAAAATCTGAAGGGTCTGCGTGGCCCCCCAAAATAATAACCAAGAAGACAACATTAAGAATAGGCTCTTCTGGTTATTTTATTTTGGGGAAATAGCCTCTGCTACAAACATTGTAATACAAAAATGATTACAGTGGATTATTCAAGTCAAATAATGAACACAAATATTTTAATATTACAAACAAAACATTATACATTTAACATTAAATAATTATATATATATATATATATATTTTATGACCTCCCGCGGCCCCCCTGCAGTACCCTCGCGGCCCACCAGGGGGCCGCGGACCCCACTTTGGGAGACACTGCCCTAGCTCAATGAAGCCCAATAGGGAAGTGCTCATGGTGAAGTTTGGCTCCAACTCGCTCTGGATTCTGATTGACCCTCTAGCTCAGGAACAGTTCGTGACACACTCACCATTTTGAGTTTAAAATCCATGGTCTTTAGGCACACCTTTGTATATGACGCAAGGTTTTCATGATCACCATAGATTCCAGCTTTATCATCAATTTTAGAATAAATGAGTGTCCTAGAGCTACTAAAACATGGTCAAAATAATAAAACTCTAGTCTACCCCACTCTAGAGGCCTGACTCTTGTACATGCATTAGCCGATTGCTATATAAGTGGCAGTAGGTTCCATTCAATTAACTTTTTCTTGTATAGTCCTAAATCACAACAGTAGTTTTCTCAGAGGACTTTAAAAAAGAAGAACATAAGAAGAAGAAAAAAGGAATATATAAAGTGGGGCAAAAAAGTATTTAGTCAGCCACCAAATTGTACACTTGTTCTCCCACTTAAAATGATGAGCGATGTCTCTAATTTCAATTATTGCAAATGATGGTGGAAAATAAGTTTTTGGTCAATAACAAAAGTTCATCTCAATACTTTGTTATATACCCTTTGTTGGCAATGACAGAGCTCAAATGTCTTCACAAGGTTTTCCACATACTGTTGCTGGTATTTTGGCCCATTCCTCCATGCAGATCTCTTTTAGAGCAGTGATGTTTTGGCTTTCAACTCCCTCCAAATAAATGCTATGGGGTTGAGATCTGGACCTGGAAATGCTTCTTACAAAGCCACTCCTTCGTTGCCCGGGTGGTTTGTTTGGGATCATTGTCATGCTGAAAGACCCAGCCAAGTTTCATCTTCGATGCCCTTGCTGATGGAAAAAAGTTTTTATTCAAAATCTCACAATATATGGCCTCACTCATTCTTTCCTTTACACAGATCAGTCGTCCTGATCCCTTTACAAAAAAAGGTATCAGGATCCACCCCCATGCTTCACATTAGGGCTGGTGTTCTTTTGGATGCAACTGTACTCCCAACCACGAGTTTTCACCCAAAAAATATATTTTGGTTTCATCTGACCACATGACATTCTCCCAATCCTCTGCTATATCATCCATGTGCTCTTTAGCAAACTTCAGACGGGCCTGGACATGCACTGGCTTAAGCAGAAAAATGTATGGTGTTATCATGATTTTCAGATGAGTCAAGACATTCTGGGACATTGTACAACAGACTGCATCCAAGGGTCTGGGATCTAATGAGGGATGACTGGATGATGACTGGGTGATGACTGGGTGATACTGGGTGATGGCTCGTGGAGGGGGTTTGACTGGGCGATGGCCAATGGGGTGACCATCATAGAACTCACCAGGCGATGTACACGTCTGGCACTGCAGGATTTGAGTCCCTGGCAGCGTGTTACTGATGGTAGCCTTTGTCACTTTGGTCCCAGCTCTCTGCAGGTCATTCACAAGGTCCCCCCTGTGTAGTTCTGGGATTTTTTCCAACTGTTCTTGTGATCATTTTGACCCCACGGGGTGAGATTATCAGTGGTCTTGAATAGCTTCCATTTACTAATTAAAGCTCCCACAGTTGATTTCTTCACACCAAACTGCTTACCTCTTGCAGATTCAGTCTTCCCAGCCTCGTGCAGGTCTACAATTTTGTTTGCCTTTGACAGCTCTTTGGTCATGGCCATAGTGGAATTTGGACTGTGACTGTTTGAGGTGTCTTTCATACTGATAATGAGATCAAACAGGTGCCATTAATACAGGAAACAGTTGGAGGACAGAGGAGCCTCTTCAAGAAGGAGTTACAGGTCTGTGAGAGCCACAAATCCTGCTTGTTTTTAGGTGTCAACATAACTTATTTTCCACCACAATTTGCAAAAAAATCTTTAAAAATGTCTCATTCTGTTGCTCATAGTTGAGGTTTACTTATGATTAAAATTACAGGCCTTGCTCATCTTTTTAAATGGAAAAACTTTCACTAAATAAATACTATTTTTTAAACTCCACTGTAGGTATTGGTCCATAGGGCGAGTTCCGAAATGTCCATGAATGTTGATACATTTCCATAAATGTTGTAGAATGTTGGACAGTCCTTGATCATCAACATAGTCCTTTTTGTTAAAGGATTACCTAATCATAATGTTTATAAGATAAACACCTCATCATCGAATCCTGTTCAAACATTCTCTCTTTGTCTCCATCATCACATCATAATCCTGAGGCTTGTACTCAGGTGTGTCCTTGTACATGTAAATCAAGGGCTAAACTAGTGATTATTGAAACATTCAAAAGGGGTTGTAACACACCGTTCCTGGAGGTGATAGAATGACCTCAGGGTGTTTATGGAGATTAGTCTAGAGCTCAGAGAGTGTAGAGCTCAGAGCTGCTGTAGATATGAGCCCATCACTACAGCTGTCTTGTATCTGATCTCACACACAGAAGGGTTTAAACCGCTTCACTGAGCTGCCACCGTTCCCACGCACACAGCAGAGCAGAGAAGACAATATCCAACCCATATAAACATTATCTGCATTCAAACTACTGCACACGTGTCATGAAGAGACCAATCTTTGAATACATGGCTATAATCTTCTTAAAAATGAAACACAGTTCAAGTTCTAGACTTAAAACTTGTAGACCTAAATCTATTCTTGACAATTTTTGGATCTGAAAGTTGTGGATTCGATCCCCCCTCGAGATCTTCTCCAACAGCTCCCACTCATGTTTGCTGCCGTTGTGTTCTTTGGCAAGACACTTTACACCACGTTGCCCAAAGCCACCGCTGAGGTATCCACCACCTGCAGGATGTTCAGCTGGGGCTATACGCATTTGGGAGCCAGCCCTCATTGCCAACCCCCCAACATAGATATTGACTAATAAAGGGGTAGAAACCAAACTAATGAATATTCAAACAGTCCCTCTATAATAAGCAAGCTATTAAGATTAAAAGGAGAATAGAGAGATAATCTTTGTCAAGGATTTGAATTTGTCCAATCAGGCGGGTCTAAGTGGTCCCTCTATCTGTGTAATCTGAAAAGTAACTGCTCTTCACCTTAAATGCAAAATTTAAATACAAAATGAACAGAGCAGTTCTCACTTATGGCAGAAGAGGGCGACACAGGCATTTACAATGCACAATAACTGATGAAGCTATGTTGAATCAAGAGGGATGTTTAAACTTCCACCACAGTCCTGTCCTGACTAGCTGATGTAAAAGAGCAGTTTGAGCCCCATACAAGAGGTACGTTTCAATCTATTGTATATGTGTAGCCCACACCAGCAGTTGTCTCGGAGGACTTTACAAAGTTGTCGATTCGCCAACACCAGATAGGAGAATCAAACTATTCAAACAGGAAATGCCAAAATAACAACCACAAAGGAGCCATAGGGAGCGAGACCAAATGGTATGGCTCCCACCAGCTACTGAGACACGTAATTATTGTATAAATCAAACACACTCACTGCACTCGCAAATTGCCAGACTTCTGGCGGTTACAAGAGTCAAAAAGGGCAGAGCATTTAGCTACAAAGCTCCTATGCTGCAGAATCAGGTCAAGGAAGCAGTCTCTACACCTGTAGCTCGGGAGCCATTGGTAACTCCCTTTATTGTGAAAAAGTTTAGAGACACCTGCTCTACATTCAAGGCTAGGCTTAAAACAGTCTTTTAAATTCAGCTTTTTGGTTAGGTAGGTATGACAATAACTGGGAATTTACACAGGAGGCGTTACAGCACGTAAGCGTTGACTGTGCGCTTTACGCGGCTATGCAAACACTGGCCATGCGCTGCTGATGCTGTCCCCGTATAGTCTATAGTGTTTTTCAGCCTTTTTTAAGGCCAAGGCACACTTTTTTCACAGAAAAATTCTTGCGGTACACCATCAGGAAAAAATATAAAAAATAAAATATATATTCTTTAGCTTATATTTACACTGTAAAGTCATTCTCATCAAAGTGCTTAAATAGACATCCAGGCCTTGACATTAAGCTTTGTTTAATATTTATCGATACAATGTGGGAAGAAGAGTTTGGGAATAACGTGGCACTAACTGTGTGGGAAAAAAATATAAAAAAATCTACTCTCAGTCCAAAAAGGAAAATAATAACTCAGACGGCATTTATGCAAAACTATATATATATATTGTTTTGCATAAATGCCCTCTACATTTTGTTTGATTTGTTCACAACATTTTACTTTCGTGCACAAATAACATGGATGGGGAAAATTTAGGTATCCAAGCTTTAAATTTGTGAGGTTTGGTGGAGAGACACGGGGGAGACACGGGGGAGACACGGGGGAGACACGGGAGAGACACGGGGGAGACACGGGGGAGACACGGGAGAGACACGGGGGAGACACGGGGGAGACACGGGAGAGACACGGGGGAGACACGGGAGAGACACGGGAGAGACACGGGGGAGACACGGGGGAGACGGTCCTGAACATGAGTCCTTGGTTCTGTCTACGCATCTATGGTTCTGTTCACACAACTATGGTTGGGCTTGGTACCATGTTACGGATGTGCGTTCGCTGAGCTGTTGTCAAAGCGGCTGTCAGTACAAAGCGACCGGAGCTGCCCTCAGAGCGGAGAATGTGAATCCTGTTAAAAAATGGCATAATTCTTTTTCAAAAACGTCTCAATCACTTTCACATCTCACAAGCCACACAATGCTCCCCCTACATGCAAGCCCCGGCAATCAAAGATGGCGCCGTATTCAATTGAATGGTTTGTGCTCGGTGGTGCCGGCCCGGTCGCTGACATATTAACAGAACTCGCCATATCACTCGCTATATTTGGGCATCGTCTGGTCCTCCCGGTTCTGCGCAGTGTGTGGCTCTCATGCACGTGCACAGGGGGCTCGGCTGCACTTTGGCTAATCAGTGCTGCTGATCAGAGCGGAGTTAGAGCGGGAGCCAGACGAGCAGAGTTTGTGGCACTAAAGTGTGGATTTAAAGAAAACCGAAGGATTTAATAAGAAAAGAGTTCAGGATGAAAAGGGCCAGTAGAATCCCCACAAAATCCAACCTTTATGAAAGCTGTAGGTTCTCTGTCGGCTGAGGTCGCACTGTTTTAGTTTACATTGAGTTTTATGGGGAACATTTCTGGGTAGCCCAGATGAAGTTAGTCTGGTTCAGTCTGCAGTACCGCGAGAATCCCCCGAGCACTTGGGTCCTTCAGCTCCAAGCTAGTAATACCCTATCCAGTTATTATAATAGATCCATGGCTACATGTTACATTAACTAATGCTATTAGCATTACATCTGGTGGTCGCGTCCAATTCTTCTGTTTCTCGCCACTGCAGGAGCTTTGGGATAATTTTCCAGGGCCAGGCCCGTTGTAGCCTGGTCGTGCCACACCATAGTACAAATTACATTTCGTACCAAGGTCTGGAGGTGCTCCATTGAGCTCCGTTAACAGGTGGGAGGGGTTAACTCCTTTTGCAGATTCAAACAATTGGATCTGAGTTTACTTTGACGTAGGTAATGCGTCCGAGTGAGTCGTTAGCATTTAGCCTAGCTTTATCCATCTCCTTTGACGCTAATGGAGCCCGTGGGGAGTAGCGCCACAATCTTTGCCAGCAGTTACATTTGCTAAACATTCTTCTTGCTCCGGCTTCAATTTCTTGATAGAACTAGAACGGATTACGTTACTATTGCATTCTTCGCTATTGCCAAACTACAACCTGCACGTTCTACGCAAACTCTTGACGTCATCCACATCTAAACAACACCCGCCTTCCGCGCTCTCTGATTGGTCGGTCAAAATTCAAGTGATTGTAATTGCTAACACAGTGTCTCCACTGCAGGAACTTTCTCCACAGGGCCATTTACAGGAACTTTTACGGATAATTGGCTAAAGCTAGCGCAGGCTCTGACGCCAGCAGAAAGCACCAAAACAACGGGCATTCAGCAGCAGTTAACCCGGGATCATACATGCATTAAGAGTTCCGAGCTTCCGGCTTGACCGCACGGCATTGTGGGAAGTTTTCTCAAAAAAGTGGGCATCAAATCACTCTGCCGTATTGGATTACATGTTGTGAACGAGATCTCTCTCTCTTGTTTTCAGCCCATAGATTGTTTTAATAGTTTAATTTTTTTTCTTGTGGATTTAGATGTAAACACAACCGACTGACTATAGAGGTACAAGTAGCAAATGGGTTTGGCGTAATGAGCTTCGCTTAAGCGGCAATCGAAACTCATACGTATTGATACTAACTGATGTAGAGCAAAATAAATCACATGCAGGTATGTGTTTGTCCCATAGACTGTAAAAATTAACGGACGTAGCGTCGGCGGTGTGAACGCTGATTGTCAGAGCTGCATACAGAGACCCCTGCTGGAGAAGTATGGTTACAACACTATCTGTCATCATTAAGGCTTCAATTGTTGTCTGTTCATCACTATTCACCCATTATCTGTTTCATGGCATGATGATGGAACCCTTGCACCTGTACTTTTTATTCATTTTTGTTTATTTGGATGGGACAGTGCATAATAATGAACAGCAGGAGCTGTAAATACAACAGATTGTGGCTAAAAAAGCTAATTTATATCTGTATTTCCACAGTCACACTCAACAACTCATTCAACCCTCACCTATTTGGTGGCAGGGGAAACCGGAGCACCCGGAGGAAACCTACACAGACACAAGGAGAACATGCAAACTCCACACAGAAAGGTCCTGGAGGTTCAATCGAACCCAAGACCTTCTTGCTGTAAAGCACAAGGGCTATCCACTGCGCCACCTGTGGACCGGTCAACTTAGAACAGAGGTTTAGTGGTTTCTTGCCAATGCAGGGTGGAGGTCATCCCACTCACTGGCTCATATGTGTTTGTTATTATTGCATTTCCTGTGTTCAAACGGTTCGATTCTCTGATTTGTTGTTGGCAAATCCACAATTTTGTAAAGTTCATCGAGACAGTTGCTGCTGTGATTTAGGGCTGTGCACACATTCTTTGGATTAAATTGACCCACTGTGTAGACCCGGGACTGAGGCTGTAGATCCAGGTCTGAGGCTGTAGACCCAGGACTGAGGCTGTAGACCCGGGACTGAGGCTGTAGATCCAGGTCTGAGGCTGTAGACCCAGGACTGAGGCTGGAGATCCAGGACTGAGGCTGTAGACCCAGGACTGAGGCTGTAGATCCAGGACTGAGGTTGTAGACCCAGGACTGACTCTGTAGATCCAGGACTGAGGCTGTAGACCCAGGACTGAGGCTGTAGATCCAGGACTGAGGCTGTAGACCCAGGACTGACTCTGTAGATCCAGGACTGAGGCTGTAGACCCAGGACTGAGGTTGTAGATCCAGGACTGAGGCTGTAGATCCAGGACTGAGGCTGTAGACCCAGGACTGAGGCTGTAGACCCAGGACTGAGGCTGTAGACCCAGGACTGAGGTTGTAGACCCAGGACTGAGGCTGTAGACCCAGGACTGAGGCTGTAGACCCAGGACTGAGGCTGTAGATCCAGGACTGAGGCTGTAGATCCAGGACTGAGGCTGTAGATCCAGGACTGAGGCTGTAGACCCAGGACTGAGGCTGTAGATCCAGGACTGAGGCTGTAGATCCAGGACTGAGGCTGTAGATCCAGGACTGAGGCTGTAGATCTTGTTTCCTTACTGTTTAATGGTTCTGCAGTTGAGGTATTTTGTTTTGGGCCTGCTCAAATGGTATTTTCAGAGACTTGATCATTGAGCCAATCAGCACAAACACGGCTGAGAAAGCTTTCCAATTTGCGACATCAGCCTGAGAATAATAATAAAACAAAGCCAAGAAACAACAATAGTCCCAAACTAAATGAATAAATGGAGAGCAGAGTGGTTTGAGAATAATGAAAGAGAAAAGAGCAGAGTGGAGGAGAGCAGGGCCAGAGTAAAGCTCTCTGGGAGCTGACAGTAGAGGAACAGGACTGTGTCTGTTTAAAGAGTCATCAGAGCACACTGCAGCTGGGCCTGTGTGCAGGGGAGAGCACTACGCTAGGGATTCTGGGAAATGTATGAGCGAAAACGGTACAAATACAAGATAAAGTCCATTTGAAACGGTTTGTAGCTGTAATAGTTGCTGTTCCAACGCAATAGGGCTGAAACAATAGAGCGTATATAAGGAGTGGACTGAGCAACTGTGACATTTGACAGTGTTATTAGCATTAGAGCCAGCCGGCTACTTCCGGCGCTGGTCAGGACGTTCTGGTGTGAAGGCCCCTGCGTCTGAAAACTAGAGAACGCGCGTCTGGTGAGCGGGGCCTCAGCGTTTGAGAGTTTGCGGTCTGAATGCACCAATAGCCTTAATGTGGAATAAACCGATTGGAACATAAGCTAGCTTCCTTATATGGGCATGTCTTCCGATGACATTAGCTTTGTTAACAGAGGCATTAACAGAGGCAGACTTGTTGCTAAGATGGTTGCAAAGGCAAGCTGGGGTTTCCCCCGCGAATGAAGGCGTCTGTTTGGTCAATCTTTGTTTGGCTCATATCTGGATTTACAAACGGGCGGCACGGTGGCTGAGTGGATAGCACTCTCGCCTCTCAGCAAGAAGGTCCTGGGTTCGAATCCCGGTCGGACCAGGGCCTTTCTGAGTGGAGTTTGCCTGTTCTCCCCGTGTCTGCGTAGGTTTCCTCCGGGTACTCCGGTTTCCCCTACCACTAAAAACATGTACAATAGTTCTGGCATGTGCCTCCTGTACTGGCCCCGCTCCCATCTCTGTGTGGAGTGACAGACAAATGCCCAAAAATAACAATTGTAAACCGCTTTGAGACTCAGATCTGCAGTGAAAAGGCGGTATATAAATAAAAACTTACTAACTTACAAACACAATATCACAAGACAAAGATCAGGATCATGGAGAGGAGAGAGAGAGAATTTTTAAGCCCAAAATGGGGAGTGTGACACAAACGGACTTGGCTTCAGGAGAATCACTAAAAACAACTTTGAGTGGGTAAATAAAGACATGGCTTAAAAGTAAAGTTCTAATCTTATGTAGGGATTAAAGGAGCTGTGTTCCCACCGGTGCAGGTCTGAGACTCCCAGGCTTGGTCTGGACATTGCTGCAGGTTCTCTGGTTCTTGGGCCAGCACGGCTCTGGACCGAACCCGGACTGAGCCAAAGTCCACTGAGGCCTCCTTCACACAGATACTGACACACGGACTCCAGTCGGACCACTCCATCAGGTAGCACTCCCCTGCAGGAGACAAGGAATGCATGAATGCCTATGTTAGTGCTGTGAATAAATCATAAGTAATTCAATTTCAATTCAATGTTTTACTGTATAGCACTAAATCCCAACAGTAGTAATGTCAGAGGACTTAACAAAACCGTTGAAATCACACAGTTCAAACAAAGAATAGAGGGCACATAGGTATTGGTCCATTGGGAGAATTGACCAATGTCCGTGTTGAATGTTGAGTGTCCTGGATCATCAGCACAGTCCCAGCAGGAGGCCAGTCCCTGTGCTCCTCAGCGCCCGAGTTGTTTAATTTGCAAACCAACATGTTACATATGTTGATGCGAGGCCAGGGAGAAACCTTTACACAAGCAGAATTAACGTGAGAGGGCTTCAAGACAGAGACCTGAGACCAGGACTAACGTGAGAGGACTTCAGGGCAGAGACCTGCGACCAGGACTATTGTAATGGTGCTTCCTGATTCTAGTCAGGACTGAAACTGCTTTATTTTGAATGTATTGCAGCTCATTTGCAGATCCAGTGAGCAGGCTGTTATGGTAGTCTAACCGAATCTGGAACCACTCCACTTAAATACATGGTCATTCAAACGATTAAGCCAAGGAAGATGAATGTTTCCAGCATAAGTCAGAAGAGAGGCCAAACAAATGTAGCTACTCTTAACTACTTGAGAAAGAGGGAAGCTAAATGTTTCTCACAGAAAAAAAAATAAGTCAGAGACTGAGCAGTGGACTGAGCGAGTGTGACATCACAGTATTGTTAGCCTTAATGTGGAAGAGGCAGATTTTGCTGAAGCCTATTTTCTTATAAGCATTTGTTTCGACAGCGTTGATAGTGGGAGTTTTCCCCAGAAATAAAGGCATCTGATTGGTCAATCCTTATAAGGCTCATATCTGGATTTACAAAGACAATAACACAATTCAAGCACCAGGATAATAGAGAGCGCTAAGCAATGGATTTAATGACAAAATGGCAAGTGTGACACAAAGGGTTCTCAGTAACGGTTAGAGAGGAGTTTATTTTCACACGTAAGTCAATAGTCAATTACCATTATCCATCTGGACCTGGCCATTGGTTCCGGAGCAGGATGACCACTGTCCAGACATTTTCTTCCTACTCCTTTTTGAGCCAAAATATATATATGTTGTTCAGATCCTCCCTGTACCTCTTTGTTTTGTTTTGTCTTTCATTTGTTACCCATGTGTGGGTACAGGGATTTCTGTATCGTGCAGAATTTGTTTTTCATTTTCATTTGTTTTTTTGGCTCAAAATAAAGTATTCAATCAATCAATCAATCAATTTTAATAAATGTGTAAAAGTATCCCAGATCATCACTGTGTCATATTTTGTCATTTTAGTTTAGTTTGTTCCATTCAACAGCGTTTCCCTCTGCTATCCAGAATAAATCATTTTAGATCAATACAGTGATTTACAAAGAACAGCCTAAAATCTGCTGCTTTAGTTCTGGGCTGTTCTGCTGCAAATTCAAAAAGGTGGAATATTACAGCAACATGTGGATTTATGAACTCTAAGTCCTGCTGTACTTTATTACTGTCAGACACACAATCCCTTCCCCTGCCTCCCTCTCTCCCTCTCTTCCTGAAGGGAACATGATTGACTGCTTACACATCTCTGTCCAGTCCCTAAAGGCTGTGAGAATTGTGCATCTGTTGACTGCAGTGTTTCAGCAGAGACAGCTCTAAAGTGCTCTGTGGCGCTGGAGGAAGTGGAGTCTTCACTCAGTCCAAACGCAGTGAAGACGAATAGCCTGCGGACCGGAGTCTCCAGTGTGTTCATTTTATATCATAATCCAGCAATTTACAAAGCTGTGGTGAAAATAATGGAAGAGACTTTGAATCACAGAGAGTGGGAAATGTACAGAAAAAATGAACTGAACCTCAACAGCAGCTCAACAACCCATCTACGGTCGACCCCTTATTCAAAAAGGCTTCTCCTGCTTTTGTCTCCAGTCGGTTTGACTCCTGTTACAGCTGCCACCTGGTCTCTAAAAACGAGCTGCAAAACAGACACTCCAGTCCTGACTAGAAGCAGGAAGGAAGTGGTCTCTGGTCCTAAAGTCCTCTAGCATTAGCCCTGGTCTCAGGTCTCTGTCCTGAAGTCCTCTCACATTAGTCCTGGTCTCAGGTCTCAGGCCTGGCTTACGTGTGACTCAAAGATTAGACTTTAAAGCAGCTCTGCTTGTGTGCAAGTATGTATGTTTGTGCCATATGAATAACTCCTACAGCTGCTGGGTCACTACCGCTGGGTCAAAAATGTACAAATATAAAAAAAAATAATTCCAACCACAAAATTGCATTTAAATAATAAATAAAAATGTGATCTAAATGTGATGTAGATCGCAGAGTTCTTCTTGGCGCAGAAAAGTAATCTTTAAACTATCCAACCTGGAGTTGGATAAAGGCTGAAATATATTTGTCTGTCTAACATACTGCTTTTTGGAACATTAAGCGGCTGTCAGTGCCAAGCTGTTGTTGTTTCCTTAGGCAAGACACTTCACCCACATTACCTAGCATGGGTCTGGTGTGTGTGGCTGGTGGTGGTCGGAGGTGCTGAACAAGATGGTTTCTCAACAGTACATTAATCTATGTAGAAGCTGAAAGAGAATGTGGCAAGTAAAATCCCAAAATAATGATTTATGATACATCTGCTAATTTATGGAATATGCTCCCGGTCTCAGTATAACATCTCAGTAGGTTCAAGAATGAAACAGCACCAGGGATCCTTTCATGTTATATCGTATAATCATGCTTCTCTCTACTCAGTCCTGGATCTACAGCCTCAGTCCTGGATCTACAGCCTCAGTCCTGGATCTACAGCCTCAGTCCTGGATCTACAGCCTCAGTCCTGGATCTACAGCCTCAGTCCTGGATCTACAGCCTCAGTCCTGGGTCTACAGCCTCAGTCCTGGATCTACAGCCTCAGTCCTGGATCTACAGCCTCAGTCCTGGATCTACAGCCTCAGTCCTGGATCTACAACCTCAGTCCTGGATCTACAGCCTCAGTCCTGGATCTACAGCCTCAGTCCTGGGTCTACAGCCTCAGTCCTGGATCTACAGCCTCAGTCCTGGATCTACAGCCTCAGTCCTGGATCTACAACCTCAGTCCTGGATCTACAGCCTGTCCGTCCGTGGGAGTGAATCCCTCTCTCAGTATGGGCCTCCCTGAGGTTCCTCACTTGTTCCCACTGGGTTTCTGAGTGGTTTCTTGCTGATGCAGGAGGGTCTAAGGACAGCGATGATCTGGTAAATTTCTGCAGATTTATTAACATTTCTGGACAGTGGTCATCCTGCTCCCAATGGACCAATGACTCCTTAAGTGTTTGTTATTATTGCATTTCCTGTGTTCAAACGGTTTGATTCTCTGATTTTTGGTGAATCCGCTGCTTTGTTAAGTCCTCCGAGACTGCTGTTGTGATTCAGGGCTGTACACAAATACATTGAATTGACTTGAGCTGTCAGACTGTCAGACTGACCAAAAATACCATTACCATTGACAAGTGTGCTTTAGAATGTGTTTGGAAGCACACGGTTCTCGTCTGAGACACAAATGAAACGTCTCACTTGTGTCGGCTCCAGGATCGATGCAGACGACATTAGTCCGGATCATCATCACTGCAGCTGCTCAAACATTATTGATCCACTTTTATATAAAAGCTGCACTGTGGCCGGTTCTTTCAATTACAGCTTTGGATTCGTTTCATGAACAGGGGAGAGTTTGTGAGGGCAAGACTTCACTGGTTTTCGGATATTTGACTGTAGTAATTCACTTTGTCCAGTCAAAACCACAATAACTGTTAGGATGTAGTGCTCCCGTCCAGAGAGAGAGAGCAGAGATGAGACAACAGAGAGACCAGAAAGAGAGGCCAGAGAGAGGGACCAGAGAGTGACCAGAGAGTGACCAGAGAGTGACCAGAGAGTGACCAGAGAGTGACCAGAGAGAGACCAGAGAGTGACCAGAGAGAGACCAGAGAGTGACCAGAGAGTGACCAGAGAGAGACCAGAGAGTGACCAGAGAGAGACCAGAGAGTGACCAGAGAGTGACCAGAGAGTGACCAGAGAGTGACCAGAGAGAGAGACTAGAAAGAGAACAGAGAGAGAGAAAGGAGAGAGAGAGAGAGAAAGAAAGAGAAAGAGAGAGAGAGAAATAGAAAAAAACCTGGACAGTATTGATAGGACCTCCTGTTCAGCAGGGCATGTATAAGGCAGGGGCGTGGCCAGTTTCACCTATTCCTAAATCTCTGATCTCTCTCTGGTCTCTCTCTGGTCTTTCTCTCTGGTTTCTCTCTATTCTTTTTGGTCTCTATTCTCTTTTTAGTCTTGCTCTTGTCTCTCCTTGGCCTATACTTAAATACCACGACTGCAGTATGAAAACACTGTATGATTGATCATAATAGCTTTAGCATTTTGAGGCTTTCAAAAATCAATCAACTTCATCCCAGAGGACAAAGTTTGCAGATCACGATCTTGTCGACACAAACAACATTCGCAGCAGACGTCTTACCCCCCGTTATCAGGAGCTTCAATAGCAGAGTAATTTCCCTGCACCTTTCAAAACATGAATGCAGAAGGAAAACAGGAATTTCACCATTTTCCTCACAATTGGTACATTATATCGTTTCAAAAAGACTAGAAAAAAATCACAGTGTCCAATAATCAAAGCTAACTTTAAATGTAAAGTGTGTAGTAACAACAGCTTTTGGAAGACACAGTTCAGTAGATTACATTACATATTGTTGTGTAGCCAGAAGTTCAACACTCAGCAATGCTGAGGTATTATTCTAAATGTGGGAGCGTAGGACTGGGATAGAGTCATGTTTGTGTGACCTGGAATATGAGGTTGTATTGAATAGCCTTTTTGTGTTGAATGTTTTCAGAATCATGTCAAACCATTCCAGGTCCATCACAGTGGTTCTGTGTATGTCTCACCAGGACAGGGCAGAGTGCAGGGCTCCTTCAGGCTGATCCTCTGCCCCCCCTCCCCGCCCAGTTCCAGCCCCGTGCACAGCTCTTCCTCCACCTGGGCCCCTGGGTCGTCCCCTGAGCCGTCAGACACCCAGCAGGTGAGGTTCCGGAAGCGGAGACCGGCCCCACACACCACGCTCTGGAAGACACACACACAAACACACGTTACAATCACTGTAGACAGTGGTACAGAACAGTATGGAGTGTTCCAAATCAATGAAACTGTCTGCAGAGGTGACAATGTAAGTCCACGTCCAAATGCCATTTCATATTAGTTTCAGTCTCTCATGTTGTGCATCTGCTCGTTCCCCAGTCGTAACCTGTGTGTGGTTCATTCCTGTTATCTGGGAGCACATATGTGTGTATGTATAACCTGTTATTTGGGGACACATATACTGTATGTGTACATGTGACCTATTGCCTGACAGTCTGATTTGTGTGTCCCTTTAAACTCAGTGCGTGTGTTCTGTCTGAGGGCTTACGTACCTCTACCCTGCACTCGGACCACTGGCTGTACCTCCAGGAGTAGCAGGGTCTGACGGGACAGGGCTTCCACTGCTGCATGTGAGTGGGACAGGGTCGGCCGTCCCCCTGAGAGGCCTGGACCACCCAGCGACTGCGCCACATTCTCCCTGCGCAGACATGTATAACAGATCATACACACTAAATACTCCCCCTTTCTCTAAAACATATCTGTACTCTGATCTCTCAGAGATCCCTTTAGAGCACTTAAAGATCGGACTCTTTGTGAAGCTGAAGCCTAATAGTTTTGCCGTCTCATGACTCATTAGCTCTATTTATTATTATTTAGTCTATACATATATATGTACCTGTCTGTCCGAGGGCCCCAAACCTCAGGAGAGAGGACCTCATCACTGGTAGCTTTCTATCATTAGAAAGGGATATGAAATCCTAGTGTGACCTTAGTGAATAGTGCTTTTACTAAAAACTACATATTCTCTTTGTCAGAAACCAAACCCTCAAGAAAATGTTGACATAAAGTAAGTGTGTGCTCTGTGGATGTAGAACTCGATAACGGTCTTGGTTTAATCATTCTGAGATCAGGGAAGTCATGAATAATGCACGTGTCTAACACAGCGGCTGTCGACAGCCTCAGATCTCCCACAGACAGGGGCTTAAAGGAACTACAACAGTTTCATCATTTAGTAACGATCACAATTAGCCCTCTGAACTAATATGGTACAGAGGCCAGAGAGAGACCAGAGAGACCAGAGAGAGACCAGAGGGAGAACAGAGAGAGACCAGAGAGAGACCAGAGAGAGACCAGAGAGAGACCAGAGAGAGACCAGAGAGAACAGAGAGAGACCAGAGGGAGACCAGAGAGAGACCAGAGAGAGACCAGAGAGAGACCAGAGAGAGACCAGAGAAAGGCTAGAGAGAAAGACAAGAGAGAGACCAGAGAGAGACCAGAGAAAGGCTAGAGAGAAAGACAAGAGAGAGACCAGAGAGAGCGACAAAAGTTTTCTTCTAACTATAAATAAAGGTAACTGTTATACTATTGGTTAAAAGGATGTTTTATATGATGTTGTTGAAGAAACATCGATGCCCCTGAAAGGTGAAGCCTGTCAGAGTGGTTCACTTGTATGGTGCGCTAATACATTTGAATGGCTTTTTGTTGGGGAACTTTTAAAAAGTTTTACAGTTATTAAAAAAAAAGAGTAAAGTACGTTACTTAGTTACTCTCTAAACAAAGTAGCTTATTACGTTATTCAATGCTTCAATCAATCAATAAATCTTTACACCCAACACTGGTCATTGGGTGAATTTTTATTATTTTGAACTTATCTGTTGTCTTGCCTTTTGTAGTTCTACTTCCTGTGCCTCGTTGGTGAGATTCCCTCTGTGTGTGTGTACAGAGTGTTTACAGAATATAACCTGAGTTTTGTCCTCACTGGTCGTCCGTCCATTGTGTGTTCCACAATGACTTGACCGTGGCTTGTTTATTTCTCGATATTTGCGTTTTATCGAATTTTATTGAAACTAACTGCACATCAAAGTACTGTAAGAGGAGAAAGGAGAGGGGAGAGGAAAGGAGATGAGAGAAAGGGAAGGAGGAGGAGAGATGAGAGGAGAGAACAGGGAAGAGGAGGAAGAAAGGAGAGAAACATGGAGAGAAGAAGAGAGGAAGAGAGGAGAGGAGGGAGGAGAGGAGGGAGGAGAGGAGGGAGGAGAGGATGTAGGAGAGGAGGAAGGAGAGGATGTAGGAGAGGAGGAAGGAGAGGAGGGAGGAGAGGAGGGAGGAGAGGATGTAGGAGAGGAGGAAGGAGAGGAGGGAGGAGAGGATGTAGGAGAGGAGGAAGGAGAGGAGGGAGGAGAGGAGGGAGGAGAGGAGGAAGGAGAGGAAAGAGAGGAGAGGAGGGAGGAGAGGATGTAGGAGAGGAGGAAGGAGAGGAGGGAGGAGAGGATGTAGGAGAGGAGGAAGGAGAGGAGGGAGGAGAGGATGTAGGAGAGGAGGAAGGAGAGGAGGGAGGAGAGGATGTAGGAGAGGAGGAAGGAGAGGAGGGAGGAGAGGATGTAGGAGAGGAGGGAGGAGAGGAAAGAGAGGAGAGGAGGGAGGAGAGGATGTAGGAGAGGAGGAAGGAGAGGAGGGAGGAGAGGATGTAGGAGAGGAGGAAGGAGAGGAGGGAGGAGAGGATGTAGGAGAGGAGGAAGGAGAGGAGGGAGGAGAGGATGTAGGAGAGGAGGAAGGAGAGGAGGGAGGAGAGGATGTAGGAGAGGAGGGAGGAGAGGAAAGAGAGGAGAGGAGGGAGGAGAGGATGTAGGAGAGGAGGAAGGAGAGGAGGGAGGAGAGGATGTAGGAGAGGAGGAAGGAGAGGAGGGAGGAGAGGATGTAGGAGAGGAGGGAGGAGAGGATGTAGGAGAGGAGGAAGGAGAGGAGGGAGGAGAGGATGTAGGAGAGGAGGGAGGAGAGGAGAGAGGAGAGGATGTAGGAGAGGAGGGAGGAGAGGAGGGAGGAGAGGATGTAGGAGAGGAGGGAGGAGAGGAGGGAGGAGAGGATGTAGGAGAGGAGGGAGGAGAGGATGTAGGAGAGGAGGAAGGAGAGGAGGGAGGAGAGGATGTAGGAGAGGAGGAAGGAGAGGAGGGAGGAGAGGATGTAGGAGAGGAGGAAGGAGAGGAGGGAGGAGAGGATGTAGGAGAGGAGGGAGGAGAGGAAAGAGAGGAGAGGAGGGAGGAGAGGATGTAGGAGAGGAGGAAGGAGAGGAGGGAGGAGAGGATGTAGGAGAGGAGGGAGGAGAGGAAAGAGAGGAGAGGAGGGAGGAGAGGATGTAGGAGAGGAGGAAGGAGAGGAGGGAGGAGAGGATGTAGGAGAGGAGGAAGGAGAGGAGGGAGGAGAGGATGTAGGAGAGGAGGGAGGAGAGGATGTAGGAGAGGAGGAAGGAGAGGAGGGAGGAGAGGATGTAGGAGAGGAGGGAGGAGAGGAGGGAGGAGAGGATGTAGGAGAGGAGGGAGGAGAGGAGGGAGGAGAGGATGTAGGAGAGGAGGGAGGAGAGGAGGGAGGAGAGGAGGAAGGAGAGGAGGGAGGAGAGGATGTAGGAGAGGAGGGAGGAGAGGAGGGAGGAGAGGATGTAGGAGAGGAGGGAGGAGAGGAGGGAGGAGAGGATGTAGGAGAGGAGGGAGGAGAGGAGGGAGGAGAGGAGGAAGGAGAGGAGGGAGGAGAGGATGTAGGAGAGGAGGAAGGAGCCAGAGGTGGGTCTGTTCCAGCAGATGTGGTTTGGTTTTAGTTGAAGCAGTCAGATGGAGTGTGTTACTGGAGAAGATGAGAGAGGTTAATCGCAAATCTGACACTGTCAAGAGCAGGTGTACACAGCAGCTGTTTCATCAGAGGCAGGTGTCCTCTTTCCCCGTGTGGTCCGGTATGTGAGCGCCGAGCACAGGGACAAGGCCATCAAAGCAACTGCACTGCTTTCATGTTTACAGACTCTTTGTAAAGTCATGCAAGTCTAGGCATCAGTGAATTGGAAAGCAACAGCAGTGGTAGAAAATATCTCCTAATTTTCCTATTCTCCGGTCTCCTCTCTTTTTGCCTCTCTTTCTCTTTCCTTTCTTCTCTCCTCTCTCTTCTCATCTTCTCTTCTAATCTCCTCTCTCTCTTTTCTCCAATCCTCTGTTCTCCACTCCACCCCTCTCTCCACTCTAACTTTCATTGTCTCCAGTATCCTTTTCCCTGTCCTCCTCTCTCATCATTCTCCTCTCCTTATCCCTCTTCCGTCTTATCTCTTCTCTCCTCCTTCCTTACCTCTCTTCTCCCTCCCCTCTCTTTGTGCAAGCATACAGTATGTAGACTTCAGGAACTGTAATAGCATTAGTCAGTTCTGTTGTGGCTGTAGTTCCTTCTCCTCAGTAAGACACATGCATATTGTAACAGAGATTGTACCATCGAGCCCACAGCTCTGTGAGCACTGGGACCAGGACGACCACTTTGACAGTTCACAGTTGACGGGACACTCCACTGTGCAGGACATGTTCATCTGCCAGCGCTTCTCCAGGCTCCGCTGCAGAAGACAAAGATGTAATTTCACCTTAAACCACAACAGCAGTCCCCTTGAAGGACTTTGGATGACCATTGTCTGGAAATGTTCATAAATTTGCAGAAATGTCCCGATCATCACTGTCCTTAGACCCTCCTGCATCTGCAAGAAACCACTCAGAAACCCAGGGGAAAATTATTTGCATCGTCAAACGGCCCTTGCCGCACCGTGCAAAGGACTTCGCCATCTTCCTACAGCCCTGATGGGAGCGACACAGTGCATTTAGAATGCCTATGATCTGTGATTGTGTGTCTCTTTGATTTTGCCATTGACACATAATGGGGAGTGTTTGTCACCGGCAACCATTTATAAAATTAGCAATGGGTCTAATCGAGTTTTTGAATCAGGATGGCAAAACAGAATTATGTGCAACATTTCAAATACTTTGAGAAAACTAACTATCTTTCTGCTTTGCCCAGGCATTACTCGTTGGGAAAGCAATAGGCCCAGTTGGGACTCAGGCCTAAAAAACAAATAAGCAATATCAGCCCACCCTCCCTCTCTCCCAGGTGCCAACAAATGCGTCAATAAGTTAGTCCAAACAAGGAAGCTATTATACAACTGCAGAAGTTAGACAGAATAAAGGTTGATCCCCTGGACTCCGGGGTCACATGATGTAGCCTCGGCAGCTTATGGTCATTAGGCCTGAGACCTGAGCAAACAACATGAAAATGCATAAAATAAAAACAGTTACGGCTCCTCACAGCAGCAGGAGAACGCTCCATTGATTTGAACGTAATTTCAAAACGTTCTTTTGCTCATTATTCTCTCAAACCTCTCAAACCAATAATGACCACTGTAATTGGGAACGCAATTTGTGCTTGTAATTCAGGTGTGTAAGATTTCTCCACAAGTAGTTCGGCCACTTCATCAATAGGCTTTCCTGACAAAAATACAACAAAATGCGATCGCATTAAACCCAGAAATACCCATTAACATTAATAAAATATTCTAGGACGCATTTGCAGAGGCTCTGAGTATGGATTTAGGTTGAGTATATATATGGGCCACTCACCGCTGATGTTGTTTTCATACATTTCGAGGGAGTTCTAGTTTTGAAGTAGCTAACCTAGCTGTTACCCGCCTAGCCATGGCACTGCAAAACCTCTGGGAACTGCTTTATTTGCAGTCATTAAATAAACCTTTCGGCATTCATAAAAGTTAAGTTTATGTTGTGTGTTCAGTTGGCACAAAGCCGTCTAATAAGCGGGATAATGTATAGAACGCAGGTCATTATCGGAAAATCAGTTCCTTCAGGGCTGGTTTGCCCTCGGTACCTATATCTAATAATGACCTGAGTTCTATACATTATCCCTTACATAAACACCAGAATCACAAAGAGTGATGAACCTTGAATTTAATATTTAATTAAAAATATTTTGAGTGTGACACAAACATTTACTGAACTAGACAAGTTTACTCTTACATGTAAGACACTTGGCCCAGAGAGAGATGGAGGAAAATTTGGCAAAACTATTGGGCTTCATTGAAATAGCCGGATAGCATTGTCAATCTGTATACAAGTTTATTGAGCCTACATATCCCAGAAGTCTTTGCAGCCTGCAGACAGTAGACCAGGGAGACTAATGCAGCTGTAAAACTCAATGTGGCGTAATGTGATTTTGTGAATGGCTTTTGTGACGGAGGGCCTCGCCTCTAGTCTTTCAGACACAGACGTTTAGAATGATTAGGGAAGCTCCCTGAGGCGCTGCTACGCCAGCTGCATGAGGACATGTCACACTGACCTGCAGGAGAATGGGATTATGTAGCATAATGTCTCAGGAGATATAACAAAACGGCAGTTAGAATGTGTTAAGATTAAAGCAAAACTGGAAACACCTCAAGCAGAGATCTGGGCCAGATCAACAGCCTCTGTCCAAGATCCACAGCTTCAGTTCTGGATCCATAAAACCTCAGTCCTGGATCTACAGCCTCTGAAATTTTCTTTTACATTTCTGGACATTCAGTTGTTATGTACATTTTCTGTGTTTGAACTATTTGATTCTCTGATCTGTTGTAGGCAAATCAACAACTTTGTTAAGTCCTGCCGATGTGATTTAGGGCAATACATTATATTGAATTGAGACAAAGTGCTGTTCTGTAGAGGACAGAATGGCTCACCTCCTCACAGAAGCGCAGGTCCACAGACTTGCCGTCGCTGCGCACACAGTCCAGCATTCGGGTCTTCAGCCCCGGGCCACACACGGCGCTCGGGCTGAGCTGACACGTGCTCCACTCTGCACACAGACCATAGACCAGGAGAGGGCAGATTGTGACATCACCATAGTGTTAGACAAATGTGGAAGAGGCTCTCTGAATAGAGGGCTGGCTGAAGCCAATTTCCTTATATGGGCATTTGTTCTGACATCGTTGTTCTGACATACAGTGTATTACATCCGATATTTGGCCACACTCTCAGTGGGGGCCACTGACATTAGTAAGTAAGTAAGTAATCTTTATTTATATACCGCCTTTTCACTGCAGAGCTGAGTCTCAAAGCGGTTTACAATTGTTAATTTTTGGGCATTTGTCTCTCACTCCACACAGAGATGGGAGCAGGGTTCCCAGTACAGGAGGTGCATGCCAGAACTATTGGACATATTTTTAGTGGTAGGGGAAACCGGAGTACCCGGAGGAAACCTACGCAGACACGGGGAGAACATGCAAACTCCACTCAGAAAGGCCCTGGTCCGACCGGGATTCGAACCCAGGACCTTCTTGCTGAGAGGCGAGAGTGCTATCCACTCAGCCACCGTGCCGCCCGCACATTAAACTCCCTCTCTAGTTTATTGTCTTTAGCTGGTCTTTCTGCACTCTCTCTCTGTTCTCTTTCTGGTCTTTTGCTCTGGTCTGTCTCTTTGGTTTCTCTCGCTGGTGTCTCTCTCTCTTGTCTATGGTGTTTCTCAGGTCTCTTTCAAATATCTCTGGCAGGTTGCATGATTTGAGTTTGAAATAAGCACTCTAGTATCCATTCATCCATCCATCCATTTTCTTCCCTTTAATCCATTTCTGGGTTGGGGGGGGGGGGGGGGGGGGGGGTGGCAGTCACAGTTGCACCCAGTCCACAGAGCTCCAGCCCCTCACTGATTCTTCTGCAGGTGCTGAGTCCACAGGAGCCTTGATCTACCAGTGAGGGCTTCAGGCAAAGTGGGGTTAAATTTCTTGCCCAAGGACACAACGACAGCAGTCATCAGTGGGAGTCGTGAAGTAGGTCTCGTGGTGGGCTCGAACCCACGACCTTCAGGCCCAAAGGCCAATGCTCTACTAAATTATCCACTGTCGCCCCAAAAAAAGCACTATTCAGAACATTTCTGTAACAATATCCTGATGAGGCAGAGTTTCCAGTGCGTACATGCACCACATGTTTAGACTCTGATAACATTGACGCCTCTTTTTTAATCCATATTTATGATAACTGCCAAAAACAGTGAAATAATGTTGGTGCGCTGCCAAAAGGTGGTTTATACGATTAAACTTGACGGGCGTGGGCGAGAATGACACCTGCAAACAGGATTGGGATTAATGGGTGAGTATTAAAAATTGAAAAGATGTTTAATATAAATAAATTAACCGATTATGAAGGCATCCTGTTTGAAAGGAATTTAAATAGTTTTGTGATTGAAACACATAATTAGACCCAGTCCAAGACCAAGACCCAGACTAAGACTAAGACCAAGACCCAGACTAAGACTAAGACCAAACCAAAACCAGACCAGGATTTAATTTTTGTAGTTTCAAAAAACGTTTTTGTCAAAATATTGAACTCATTGTATGGTTTAACTTTGTGAAAGTTAAGGAAACAATAAAAAGCTATAATATCGTAATATTGTACAGTTGGTAGAGCATTGGCCTTTGAGCCTGAAGGTTGTGGGTTCGATTGTGCGCTGCATGCCTTGATGTGTATTAATCAAATTTCTCCTCTGCGGGGCGAATAAAGGACTATCTTCATCTTCTTCAATTTGCAGAAGACTTCAACAGTGTCTGAACTACTGAAAATTCTGAAATGAAAATTTGGTCAGATCAATATCATGTGCCTAACACTGAAGAATGGATTCACGTAAAACACTTAATGACAGATCTGTCCACATCTGCACTTCACACGTTTACTCGGTGTTAATTGTGTGGATTAAGAAAGCCTTTGTTTGCTCAAAGTGAAATGTGAAGAGGCAGAAGGAGACAATAGCAGACGAGGTGAAGCCAGCAGCAGAAGGAGACAGAAATACTCTTTCAGACTGAAATAGCCAAACCGATCTGTTCTCTGCACCTGGCACAAGCTCTCCGTGGCTCTGAGCCATCAGCAGACGTCTGACGGGAACTTGTTCTTCTATTAAAAAAAGGTTGAATCGTTCATTTAGATCTTTTATTTTTAGAGATATTTATTCACAATTTCTTCATTTTACTCTTGTGTACATCTGACATTTTATCTGGGGACACATATATCTGTACATGTGACCTGTTATCTGAGGAGTGTACGAGTTCTTTTAGAACATATACATGTATTTTTCGGTTCTCGTTACCAATATAATGTGTAGTTAAGTGTCTGACTGATCTTTTGGTTAAAAACACCTATACTGGTCATAGCACGGTATAATTCTGACCAAAATAGTGATGAAAATGATCGAGTTGCCAAACTCCATCAATCATTCACACACACACACACACACACACACACACACACACACACACACACACACACACACACACACACACACACACACACACACACACACACACACACACACACACACACACACACACACACACACACACACACACACACACACACACACACATACACGTTTTTGTTACCTGGTGGGTCCCTTTGACAGGGCCGTTCAGAATGGGACCCATAGACATAATCTTTTTTTACCAAGACTTTAAGTAATACAAAACAGTCAATAGAAACCAAACAACTATTTTAAAGGAATTTTATTTTAGATTTTGTTTTCGAATTGCAGTGATTCTATTTTTGACATAGAATTTAATGCCACTCCATGTCCGATGTCTAAGGTCATCTGGTGAGGCATTAATGCAGGCCAGGCCAGGCCAGGCCAGGCAGTGAGACTTCCCAGGGACCTTTCCAGTCTGTATGAAAGGTGTCATGGTCTTCTCCACAGCCTTCACCTCAGATGCAGACCATGGCTTTCTTACACGTTCTAGGGAGAGAAATAAAAATATATTAGCAATATACACTCCCAGGGTGAGGACCAAGCAGCCTGGCTGTAATCCCCCACCTGGTACACTTACCAGAAGGGGCACTGCCACTACCATGGGGTGCATCTGGATGAATGGTTGAAGGTTCTCCGCTTGAAGTTTCTTTTAGCCCGTCCGTTTGTGAGAGGATCTCTACTGCTCTCCCTGTCGCACAGAAAATAAAAATACAAGTGGCCTTTAGGGGAAAAAAATCATACATATTTTAATAATATCAAGAATTACCTTCAGGCTCAATTTGTATCTGGTCGAGGCTCTTTCCTTCGAATTCCGTCACTCTTCCCTGCTCCATGCCCATCAACACTTTGCTGATTTTGGCCAGCTCCAGTGTCCCCTCTGGTAGTCTGTAATATTGCCTGTGGATGCGAATGTCATGGCCGAGGAAGTTGGCAAGTATGTCCATCTCATTCTCTTTCATATTGAGAACTGTAGACATAGTAGCTATGTGCTTTCTAAGTTTGGTTGAGGATAGCATCTCTGGATGCACCGCACCACATTCTTTGGCTACCTGGCGTAGGGAGTCTGATCCCCTGATGTGGGTGTCTGCGCCCGGGCGGGAAAAGAAGTATGGGTTATGGTCAGAGATGGAACAGGCCCTTCTGTTCTCCACCAGCACCTCCATCGAAGCAATCATTTCAGGAGTCAAAAGAACCGGCACTTTCCGACTTCTTTTCCCTTTAATTTCAATGCGTTGAAAATGCTGACACAGCTTTTTCTCAAGTTGGGACAGTCCCAGAGCAATGTCAGAATGGATCCCAGTCTTACTTCTTAAGGTAAAGGCTGTCAGTGGCATCTTTGAAACCTCACCTTCCCTTCTTCGATTGAAAATGATGACCTCACAAAGAGTCAAAACTGCCAGTTTAGACCAATGCTTAGACGTTGGCTCACTTATTAGGGTTTGCACATATTCAGGTCGACATACCTCAATATGTGCATGCATGGCTCTAACGTCCTCAGTCAGAGGGAGCAGGTCCGGAGTGTTCCACTTGGCTTGCCGGAGGGTCTGTAGGGCAGCAGAAGAAACACAGACGTCCCACCTCTTCTCAAAAAGCAGCCGGCTTCGTTGGAGGTTTTTAATAAATAGTTCATCAACACAATGCTCCATTTTTGAGTCACATTCAAGAATATCTGCTAGCTTTCTGAGGCTATGGCCGAGTTTGAGGGCCAAGGATGGAGTCTTGTATTGATTTGTTTCCTCATCATATCCAGCCACAGACCTGACTGCATCAATCACATGGTTAAAGTTGGAAGGAATAAAGAAATCCTTAATTGTTTTCAGTTTCCCTGCGGTTTTTGCTTCGTTAATTAACCTACCGACTTCTCTCATTTTCTGCCTAATGTAATCATGCTTTGTCTTATCATGCCCGTGTTTTAAGTACAGGTGCTCTCCGAGTCTCAGAATCCCCTTTTCTGCTTTGACAACACCCGTGACCTCATCCTGATGCATTGCCGAAATTAAAGACCACAGCTTTTTGCTGATGCCCTCCGGTACAGGCTGGGCTAGGGAGCAGAGGGACTGGACCCTACTTCTACCTGGTTTAGCCTGGGCATCTTTCTGTGAAAGCCGGCACCTGGCCACATGCCTCCACAGCGACTTTCGCTTAAGCAATGCCCCACAGTCTATACAGTGCAAAAACTCACTGGATTTAACTGGGGAATTTGGCTGTTTAGCTGGGACTAAAGTTCCAATGCCGGCCTTTAAAACCTCAAAATTGTGCTCACGGTTTCCACTATTCCTGATCAAATCAAACTGAAGTTTACGTGCTTTAGATTTCACAGGTAGAGCCAATGCTCTGGCTACGTCACTTTCATTTCCATGTTTTCTAGTCAAATGACGGGACATTTTGTGGCAGGACATTGAACAGTAGAGGCAGAAGTGTCTCTTGCTGTATACTCGCCCCCCATTTTTCTTCTTTTGCAGCTGCATGATAACAATCTTATTTGCCTTTGGTTCGTCACTTTCCGAGTCTTGAAGAAAAGTGTTTTTGATTTTTCTTTTTCCATACTTTTTTACAGGTTTCTTCTTGACAGTTAAATCGTCAGAATCTGAGTCGACTTCATCAATTAGGGACTCTTGACTAAGCTGCACAAACAACAAATAATTTGTAATCATTCTATATAACAATTTGAAGTCATGACTTGTAGTCAGCACTTACCAGTGGTTTGTAAGCGTGCGCTTCAGTGTGCTGCTCTGTGATTGGCTGCAGCCTAATGAACCACACACTTGCACCTTTTTCTAGCCTGACACCTGATTTCCTCTGTTGTGCTGCTCCATGATTGGCTCCAGCCTGCTGGACTGAAATTGCCCCAGTGTGCCCCTCCTTGATATCCCGCAACCCACCACCAGGGTTCCGACACATAACACACTTTTTTCAGGAAAGTAAACCTCCAGGGGTCCTTTCCATATTTTTACAGAGACTGCATAAGGACCGTTAGAAAAGCATTACCCATTGATTATTAAGCTTGGACCAGTGGGGTCCGGTGTTCGGGCCCCACCACGTAAAACCAGTCCCCATGACGTGAGTGGAATCTCAGGTTATGGAACCCACCAGGAGTTGAAAACAAGTGCACACACACACACACACACACACACACACACACACACACACACACACACTCAAGGCAATGTGGCTGAAATGTCTTGGTAAAACACAACAGCAGTTTGTCACTATTCATACTCATCCCCATTGTGGCAGCTTTTGTTACCAATGGTCTCCCATCACAGTACTAAACAGGCCCTGCCCTTCTTAGCCTTTGGAGACAGACAGCATCAGGCATTCACCAGCAGATGTGCCACGGTAAACATACTGTATATGCCACTTGGGGACAGAGGGCTGCTGCTGGATAACAGGCCCTGTTATCCAGTAGTTATCGGATATAGGCCCTGTTATCCAGTAGCAGGTTCTTCTTTAGTCCCTCTTGGCCTGGTTCTATCCAGACCAAGCTGGTACTAAAGTGTTCTAACTGGAGCTATTGGAGTGCAGCTGGAAGCCATGGTTACCATGGTTGCCATGGTTATAGTAGAATGTCAAATTCAAATATAGCCATTTTAAGCTGCTTGGTATCCTGGAAATTTACTGGGCTGGTCCTGGACTGATCCTGGACTGGAATGGTCCTGGTTTAGCTTGGTTTTTCTAGAGAAGAGCAAGCGCTCTGTCTCACATCCTGTCTCCCTTCCTTCAATCTCTGTCTCACATCTGTCTCTCCTCCTCTGTCTCTCAAATTGTCCATCCTCCCCTGTCAGTCTGCTGAACGAGTACCCTCTTTTTTAGTCATATTTGATCATTGGAATGGGCGGTGACAGACTTTGATGGCTCCTGATTCTTTCTGTCAGTGCTGGGTCAGACGAGGTTTAAAAACTCACAATCCAATAAACTGCCTGTCACCAGAATCCCCCACCCCACACAACTCCTATATGATGTTTTGTTTCTGAAGAATAACTATGTCACCCCAAAGGACCCAAGATCGCACTTGTGTACACACACAGACACACACACACACACACACACACGCACACGCACACGCACACACACAGCCAACCGTGCAGAGAAACCTTTAAAAATAGGGCTTTGAAGTCAGAACAGTGTAAAACAGTGTTGCATTGGAGGCTTGGGATATTACTCATAATGCAAACCTCTGTGGACCTATAGAAAGAATGTGTTTTTTTCCTTTTGGGGAGTAGGGGAAGAGTACATCCTTGAGATTCAGAGTGTTGTGGTGCCCCAGAGGCCAAGGACCAAAATGAAAGAGAAATGGTAAAGTCTGTGTATCTACACAAAAACAAAGCTAAGCCCAGAGTGCTACATGAAATGTGTTTAGGATGAAGTGAGAAACCAGGAGAGTCATGTGACTGGGCACAGCTAGGCAGTGGTTCCCGCAACCTCCAGACCCACCGTGGGGGTCGTGAGATGATTTAAAAAAATATAGCCCTTAAATATTTTTGTTTCAATTGGTTTGATTCAATAGTACTTCTTGTTAAATTGTGTTTGGAGAAGAGTCTTAGAAAAAATAAAATCTATTTTGATTACATTTGTACGACTGTCTTAGACATTACGGGATCATGACAGCTTCAATCAAAATCTTGTTACGTATCTTACATCATGCACAGCCAGAAAGGCAAAATAAAAGGTGTTTAAAAGCAACAAACAAATAAAAACTGATTTTAAATTAAATGTGGGCTAAAATCCCAAAAAGGAAAAACCCAGAGAGGGGAGTAAAAAATAACATGTGCCACAGGTGAGACAGATTGATGGTAAAGACTGCGGCGGAGAACAGTGAGATCGAGCCGCATGAAATGCCCTTCACCTACTAAAGGGGGAGCCCGCCAAGCCCTTCACTTGAACCTGGCTTACGACTTGTACACGCCACTCGTGCAGCAGAGTGACGCGAGTCTCTGTGTACGGGCAGAGCGCATAGAGACTCGGCTGCTGATGCTGTCTCTGTGTAGTCTATGAAGGAGTGTAGAGCAGAGTACGGGCCAGAGAACAAATACATGCTTTACATTTCATGCAAAGGGAAGGGCTTTTGAGGTGGGGTGGGCATTGCAAGCTAAACATGAATCCCTGATCTAGAGTATCTAACCTACTGTCCCTAACCCTGTTAGAGTAATTGGATTTAATTAAATGATTGAATTATCATTTATGCCCTGCATAATTTGTATTTAAAAATCTGCACAGACAAATATACTAGTACGTAGTTTGATTGGATTGGAAGAAGAAAACATTTACATTACTCCAGTCCCCTCTCAGCATTCAACGCAGGATGCACAGTTCTCAATTTTTCTGGCTGAAACACAGAGACAGGTTCTGGCCGTATGGTCTGCTCATGCTCTGACTGACCTGTGATGTTGAAGAAGTAGTTGAAGCAGTTGAGGTTGAGGCTGCAGGGCTCTCTGTCTGTGGTGTTGGGACACTGGCGCCCCACGCTGGGTGAGCGGAGAACGTACGCTGTGCGCTCCCGGAAGCGAGTCCTAGTGCACGGCTACAAAACAAACCACACCAACCACATAAGAACAAGGCAGAGGCTATGGAGAGACCCAAACCACAAGGGAGAGAAATCCTGATGATGACCAGAAGGGGGAACTTAAGCCCCTAAAGCTGACTCTACTCTACTCTACCTGGTTATGTTTCTATTGTGCTTTTCTCTCAGGGATCGTATTCTAGCAACCTACCCACAACAAAAATCCAGCAGCACTCGTCCAATCACTGTCAGAACACTATAGTACCAGCTCGTCCTGAATAGAACCCCGGCCAAGAGGGACAAAAGAAGGACCTGGTACTGGTGAAACAGAGCCAGTGGAAACACCCCCAATCGGGTTGGGGGGATTAGAGTAGAGTAGAGTAGAGTAGAGTAGGTAGAGTAGAGTAGAGTAGAGTAGAGTAGAGTAGAGTAGAGTAGAGTAGGTAGAGTAGAGTAGAGTAGAGTAGAGTAGAGTAGAGTAGAGTAGAGTAGAGTAGGTAGAGTAGAGTAGAGTAGAGTAGAGTAGAGTAGAGTAGAGTAGAGTAGAGTAGAGTAGAGTAGGTAGAGTAGGTAGAGTAGAGTAGAGTAGAGTAGAGTAGAGTAGAGTAGAGTAGAGTAGAGTAGGTAGAGTAGGTAGAGTAGAGTAGAGTAGAGTAGAGTAGAGTAGAGTAGGTAGAGTAGAGTAGAGTAGAGTAGAGTAGAGTAGAGTAGAGTAGGTAGAGTAGGTAGAGTAGGTAGAGTAGTGTTAGAGTAGAGTAAGTAGAGTAGAGTAGAGTAGAGTAGAGTAGAGTAGAGTAGAGTAGAGTAGAGTAGAGTAGAGTAGAGTAGTAGAGTAGAGTAGAGTAGAGTAGAGTAGAGTAGAGTAGAGTAGAGTAGAGTAGAGTAGAGTAGAGTAGAGTAGGTAGAGTAGAGTAGAGTAGAGTAGAGTAGAGTAGAGTAGAGTAGGTAGAGTAGGTAGAGTAGAGTAGAGTAGAGTAGAGTAGAGTAGGTAGAGTAGAGTAGAGTAGAGTAGAGTAGAGTAGAGTAGAGTAGGTAGAGTAGGTAGAGTAGGTAGAGTAGGTAGAGTAGAGTAGTAGAGTAGAGTAGAGTAGAGTAGAGTAGAGTAGAGTAGAGTAGAGTAGAGTAGAGTAGAGTAGAGTAGAGTAGTAGTAGAGTAGAGTAGAGTAGAGTAGAGTAGAGTAGAGTAGAGTAGAGTAGAGTAGGTAGAGTAGGTAGAGTAGAGTAGAGTAGAGTAGAGTAGGTAGAGTAGGTAGAGTAGAGTAGAGTAGAGTAGAGTAGAGTAGAGTAGGTAGGTAGAGTAGAGTAGTAGTAGGTAGAGTAGGTAGAGTAGAGTAGAGTAGAGTAGAGTAGAGTAGAGTAGAGTAGAGTAGAGTAGGTAGAGTAGAGTAGAGTAGAGTAGAGTAGAGTAGAGTAGAGTAGAGTAGAGTAGAGTAGAGTAGAGTAGAGTAGAGTAGAGTAGGTAGAGTAGGTAGAGTAGGTAGAGTAGGTAGAGTAGAGTAGGTAGAGTAGAGTAGAGTAGAGTAGAGTAGAGTAGAGTAGAGTAGAGTAGAGTAGAGTAGAGTAGAGTAGAGTAGAGTAGAGTAGAGTAGAGTAGAGTAGAGTAGAGTAGAGTAGAGTAGAGTAGAGTAGAGTAGAGTAGAGTAGAGTAGAGTAGAGTAGAGTAGAGTAGAGTAGAGTAGAGTAGAGTAGAGTAGAGTAGAGTAGAGTAGAGTAGAGTAGAGTAGAGTAGAGTAGAGTAGAGTAGAGTAGAGTAGAGTAGAGTAGAGTAGAGTAGAGTAGTAGAGTAGAGTAGAGTAGAGTAGAGTAGAGTAGAGTAGAGTAGAGTAGAGTAGAGTAGAGTAGGTAGAGTAGGTAGAGTAGAGTAGAGTAGAGTAGAGTAGAGTAGAGTAGAGTAGAGTAGAGTAGAGTAGAGTAGAGTAGAGTAGAGTAGAGTAGAGTAGAGTAGTAGAGTAGTAGAGTAGAGTAGAGTAGAGTAGAGTAGAGTAGAGTAGAGTAGAGTAGAGTAGGTAGAGTAGAGTAGAGTAGAGTAGAGTAGAGTAGAGTAGAGTAGAGTAGAGTAGAGTAGAGTAGAGTAGAGTAGAGTAGAGTAGAGTAGAGTAGAGTAGAGTAGAGTAGTAGAGTAGAGTAGAGTAGAGTAGAGTAGAGTAGAGTAGAGTAGAGTAGAGTAGAGTAGAGTAGAGTAGAGTAGAGTAGAGTAGGTAGAGTAGAGTAGAGTAGAGTAGAGTAGAGTAGAGTAGAGTAGAGTAGAGTAGAGTAGAGTAGAGTAGAGTAGAGTAGAGTAGAGTAGAGTGAGTAGAGTAGAGTAGAGTAGAGTAGAGTAGAGTAGAGTAGAGTGAGTAGAGTAGAGTAGAGTAGAGTAGAGTAGAGTAGAGTAGAGTAGAGTAGAGTAGAGTAGAGTAGAGTAGAGTAGAGTAGAGTAGAGTAGGTAGAGTAGAGTAGAGTAGAGTAGAGTAGAGTAGAGTAGTAGTAGGTAGAGTAGTAGAGTAGAGTAGAGTAGAGTAGAGTAGAGTAGGTAGAGTAGAGTAGGTAGAGTAGGTAGAGTAGAGTAGAGTAGAGTAGAGTAGAGTAGAGTAGAGTAGAGTAGGTAGAGTAGGTAGAGTAGAGTAGAGTAGAGTAGAGTAGAGTAGAGCAGAGCAGAGCAGAGCAGAGCAGAGCAGAGCAGAGCAGAGCAGGTGGAAACAGCCCCACCCTCCAATCAGTGATCCCGGTTCCCCTGATTGTGACTCCCTCCTTCAGACTCCTGAGGCCTGATGGGAGCAGTATGTAAAACTCGGCTGTAACCGGACACAGATTTACAGTCAGCACATTCCACACGTTTGCTCCCAGGCGCTTCCCTCCTCCTGTTTGATATGTATCCCAGAATCCCCTGTCTCAGCTCGGATGTGTCCCGTCCCGGCCCGGAGAGCGGCCCGGGGGAGAGCACTGTCCTCCATTAAACATGAGGCCCTCCCACACACCACAGCAGAGAGGCTGGTGGGAAGGCAGCGTGCAGGGCTGCTGAATGGGCTGTGATTAGCTGAGAGGCAAAAGCGGGTTTTTCTACGACTGTACTGTGACAAATGAGTGCATTATGAACAAATTCCACAGAAGAATTTATTTTAGTTAAAGTAAATTTACAATAATTACATTAAATTATAGTCAAGCTAAACAGAAAACATATTAAAATGTTGTGCCTCGTCAAAAACTGGGGTTGTTTTTAGCTCCATCCACGCCATAGAGGATTTATCAAGAAAGGATTGACATCACTTTAGTGTTAGCCTTATTGCTAAAGGATTGAACGCAAGCTGGAGCCAATTTTCTTATTTCGACTGTAACTGGGGTAGATGTTTTGCTAAGACGAGCTGGAGTACCTGGAATCTTTATATGACTCTTATCCGGATTCACAAATTCAATATCACAATATAAACACCTGAATCACAAAGTCCCAAAAGGGTGAGTTTACTTTAACATGTAAGCTAGAGAGAGTTGGAGGCAAACTTTGTCCTTGAGTACTTCCCTTTTTGGGTTCATTGAGCTAGCGGGTTAGCATTGTCCATCTATAACTCCAATCTAGTTTGACATAGAGCTGTTTCTATCCAGCTTGGCCTGGCTCATGCTTCTATGGTCCCTCTGATACCTCTATGTTGTTAATCGCTACTACATGCAAACTCTGTTCCATGACCTGGAGCTGAGTTTAGTCAAATCAATTAAACCCTGACTGTTGTGCAAATGTGTAATGATCATTTACTTGTGTCATAGATTAAAGCAGTCAGTAAGACTCCTCTTATGGCCCTTCACTCAGCAGCCGGCTTCGGTCTGAACACACAACTGCTGTGCGTGAGTTTCAGGGCCCATAAACCCTCTGGAAATACAGAGCTCTCATTATGTGACCGAGAAACGGCCCCAGGAGCCGTGTGTGGCAGATGTGGTGTGATGTACGAGGCAAGGTCACACTGGTGCAAGTTATTTACTGTAACACACACACTGTACAAGTCATGTTTCTACTTTATGAGCGTCTGCCACAGTGGAGTGCGAGAGCTGTCCCATTCACCACCGCAGGACAACAACACAATATACACGCTGTCCCATTCATTACAAGACAACACAATTCAATTCAATACATTTTTATATGGCCCTAAATAACAACGCAGGAAATGCAACAATAAACATAAAAATACAGAGCCATTGGTCCATAAGGGGCTCTGGTGTAAAGACAGTGATGATCCAGGACATTTCTACACATGTATGAACATTTCTGGACCAATGGGAGCGGGAGTGTGTTTGTTATTATTGCAGTGTTGAAACGGTTTGATTCTGTGATCTGTTGAATGCAAATCGACAACTTTGTAAAGTTCTCTGAGATTACTGCTTTTGTGATTTTGGGCGAAACACTAATACATTGAATTAAATGGAATTGATGTGTTAATATTTATGGTAATTATTAACCTGCAAGAGTCATACAACATGCAACTACTCTTTCTGAAAAATGACAGCAACAAATATGGACTAAAAGAGCCTAATGAGTGTCCCGTAAACCAAATCAAAGACAATAAGAATCCAATTTCATTGTATGCCCTCTCCCTCTTCCTCTCTCTCTTCCGTCCAGACTCTGAGTGTTTGGAGGCTGAAAGGACAGCAGCTGCTCCTTCATGGTACACTTGATGGTTTTGTTCGCTCCATCTCCTCAGACCTCTCTCTGAGCAGAGGGCTGGTGACAGGAGAGAGATATGAGCAGCATCTTAGAGGGATCATGTATGTCCTCTAATCCACTATGTCCTCTAGGCCACACATGGAGGACCATATTTTATCTCGTCTCTTATTTCTGAGAGATTTCTATAGCCCGGGGTGTGTTAAGTGTGAATTTTACGGTGAGCATGAAGCTGTTGTTTAGCCCATTGCCCCAAATCACCATTGTGAGTATGTAACAAGAATGCTGCTCCTTCCTTCAGAGTTAAGACTGTATCTCTTTCTTTTCTAATGTTTTTCGGTTGGTCTCTACAGCCCCTCTCTCTGTGGTTTGTCTCTACAGCCTCTCTTTCTCTCTGTGGTTGGTCTCTACAGCCTCTCTCTCTCTGTGGTTGGTCTCTTCAGCCTCTCTCTCTGTGGTTGGTCTCTTCAGCCTCTCTCTCTGTGGTTGGTCTCTACAGCCTCTCTCTCTGTGGTTGGTCTCTACAGCCTCTCTCTCTCTGTGGTTGGTCTCTTCAGCCTCTCTCTCTGTGGTTGGTCTCTACAGCCTCTCTCTCTCTCTGTGGTTGGTCTCTACAGCCTCTCTCTCTCTGTGGTTGGTCTCTTCAGCCTCTCTCTCTGTGGTTTGTCTCTACAGCCTCTCTCTCTCTCTCTGTGGTTGGTCTCTACAGCCTCTCTCTCTCTCTGTGGTTGGTCTCTTCAGCCTCTCTCTCTGTGGTTTGTCTCTACAGCCTCTCTCTCTCTGTGGTTGGTCTCTTCAGCCTCTCTCTCTGTGGTTGGTCTCTACAGCCTCTCTCTCTGTGGTTGGTCTCTACAGCCTCTCTCTCTGTGGTTTGTCTCTACAGCCTCTCTCTCTCTCTGTGGTTGGTCTCTTCAGCCTCTCTCTCTGTGGTTTGTCTCTACAGCCTCTCTCTCTCTCTGTGGTTGGTCTCTACAGCCTCTCTCTCTGTGGTTTGTCTCTACAGCCTCTCTCTCTGTGGTTTGTCTCTACAGCCTCTCTCTCTCTCTGCGGTTGGTCTCTACAGCCTCTCTCTCTCTCTGTGGTTGGTCTCTTCAGCCTCTCTCTCTGTGGTTGGTCTCTACAGCCTCTCTCTCTCTGTGGTTGGTCTCTTCAGCCTCTCTCTCTGTGGTTGGTCTCTACAGCCTCTCTCTCTGTGGTTTGTCTCTACAGCCTCTCTCTCTGTGGTTGGTCTCTACAGCCTCTCTCTCTCTCTGTGGTTGGTCTCTTCAGCCTCTCTCTCTGTGGTTGGTCTCTACAGCCTCTCTCTCTGTGGTTGGTCTCTACAGCCTCTCTCTCTGTGGTTGGTCTCTTCAGCCTCTCTCTCTGTGGTTGGTCTCTACAGCCTCTCACTCTGTGGTTGGTCTCTTCAGCCTCTCTCTCTGTGGTTTGTCTCTACAGCCTCTCTCTCTCTCTGTGGTTGGTCTCTACAGCCTCTCTCTCTGTGGTTGGTCTCTACAGCCTCTCTCTCTCTGTGGTTGGTCTCTTCAGCCTCTCTCTCTGTGGTTGGTCTCTACAGCCTCTCTCTCTGTGGTTGGTCTCTACAGCCTCTCTCTCTGTGGTTGGTCTCTACAGCCTCTCTCTCTCTCTGTGGTTGGTCTCTTCAGCCTCTCTCTCTGTGGTTGGTCTCTACAGCCTCTCTCTCTGTGGTTGGTCTCTTCAGCCTCTCTCTCTGTGGTTGGTCTCTTCAGCCTCTCTCTCTGTGGTTGGTCTCTTCAGCCTCTCTCTCTCTCTGTGGTTGGTCTCTTCAGCCTCTCTCTCTGTGGTTGGTCTCTACAGCCTCTCTCTCTGTGGTTGGTCTCTTCAGCCTCTCTCTCTGTGGTTTGTCTCTACAGCCTCTCTCTCTCTCTGTGGTTGGTCTCTACAGCCTCTCTCTCTCTCTGTGGTTGGTCTCTACAGCCTCTCTCTCTGTGGTTGGTCTCTACAGCCTCTCTCTCTCTCTGTGGTTGGTCTCTTCAGCCTCTCTCTCTGTGGTTGGTCTCTACAGCCTCTCTCTCTCTGTGGTTGGTCTCTACAGCCTCTCTCTCTGTGGTTTGTCTCTACAGCCTCTCTCTCTCTCTCTGTGGTTGGTCTCTACAGCCTCTCTCTCTCTCTGTGGTTGGTCTCTACAGCCTCTCTCTCTGTGGTTGGTCTCTTCAGCCTCTCTCTCTGTGGTTGGTCTCTTCAGCCTCTCTCTCTCTCTGTGGTTGGTCTCTTCAACCTCTCTCTCTCTCTGTGGTTGGTCTCTTCAGCCTCTCTCTCTGTGGTTGGTCTCTTCAGCCTCTCTCTCTGTGGTTGGTCTCTTCAGCCTCTCTCTCTGTGGTTTGTCTCTACAGCCTCTCTCTCTGTGGTTGGTCTCTTCAGCCTCTCTCTCTGTGGTTTGTCTCTACAGCCTCTCTCTCTCTCTGTGGTTGGTCTCTACAGCCTCTCTCTCTGTGGTTTGTCTCTACAGCTCTCTCTCTCTCTCTGTGGTTGGTCTCTTCAGCCTCTCTCTCTGTGGTTTGTCTCTACAGCCTCTCTCTCTCTCTGTGGTTGGTCTCTTCAGCCTCTCTCTCTGTGGTTTGTCTCTACAGCCTCTCTCTCTCTCTGTGGTTGGTCTCTTCAGCCTCTCTCTCTGTGGTTTGTCTCTACAGCCTCTCTCTCTCTCTCTGTGGTTGGTCTCTACAGCCTCTCTCTCTCTCTGTGGTTGGTCTCTACAGCCTCTCTCTCTGTGGTTTGTCTCTACAGCCTCTCTCTCTCTCTGTGGTTGGTCTCTTCAGCCTCTCTCTCTGTGGTTGGTCTCTACAGCCTCTCTCTCTGTGGTTGGTCTCTACAGCCTCTCTCTCTCTCTGTGGTTGGTCTCTACAGCCTCTCTCTCTGTGGTTTGTCTCTACAGCCTCTCTCTCTCTCTGTGGTTTGTCTCTATAGCCTCTCTCTCTCTCTGTGGTTGGTCTCTACAGCCTCTCTCTCTGTGGTTGGTCTCTACAGCCTCTCTCTCTGTGGTTGGTCTCTACAGCCTCTCTCTCTGTGGTTGGTCTCTACAGCCTCTCTCTCTCTCTGTGGTTGGTCTCTACAGCCTCTCTCTCTGTGGTTTGTCTCTACAGCCTCTCTCTCTCTCTGTGGTTTGTCTCTATAGCCTCCTCTCTCTCTCTCTAGCCTCTCTCTTGTGGTTGGTCTCTACAGCCTCTCTCTCTCTCTGTGGTTGGTCTCTTCAGCCTCTCTCTCTGTGGTTTGTCTCTACAGCCTCTTTCTCTCTCTGTGGTTGGTCTCTTCAGCCTCTCTCTCTGTGGTTTGTCTCTACAGCCTCTCTCTCTGTGGTTTGTCTCTACAGCCTCTCTCTCTCTCTGTGGTTGGTCTCTTCAGCCTCTCTCTCTGTGGTTTGTCTCTACAGCCTCTTCTCTCTCTGTGGTTGGTCTCTACAGCCTCTCTCTCTGTGGTTTGTCTCTACAGCCTCTCTCTCTCTCTGTGGTTGGTCTCTTCAGCCTCTCTCTCTGTGGTTGGTCTCTACAGCTCTCTCTCTCTGGTTGGTCTCTACAGCCTCTCTCTCTCTCTGTGGTTGGTCTCTACAGCCTCTCTCTCTGTGGTTTGTCTCTACAGCCTCTCTCTCTGTGGTTTGTCTCTACAGCCTCTCTCTCTCTCTGTGGTTGGTCTCTTCAGCCTCTCTCTCTGTGGTTTGTCTCTACAGCCTCTTTCTCTCTCTGTGGTTGGTCTCTACAGCCTCTCTCTCTGTGGTTTGTCTCTACAGCCTCTCTCTCTCTCTGTGGTTGGTCTCTTCAGCCTCTCTCTCTGTGGTTGGTCTCTACAGCCTCTCTCTCTGTGGTTGGTCTCTACAGCCTCTCTCTCTCTGTGGTTGGTCTCTTCAGCCTCTCTCTCTGTGGTTTGTCTCTACAGCCTCTCTCTCTCTCTCTGTGGTTGGTCTCTACAGCCTCTCTCTCTCTCTGTGGTTGGTCTCTACAGCCTCTCTCTCTGTGGTTTGTCTCTTCAGCCTCTCTCTCTGTGGTTTGTCTCTACAGCCTCTTTCTCTCTCTGTGGTTGGTCTCTACAGCCTCTCTCTCTGTGGTTTGTCTCTACAGCCTCTCTCTCTCTCTGTGGTTGGTCTCTTCAGCCTCTCTCTCTCTGTGGTTGGTCTCTACAGCCTCTCTCTCTGTGGTTGGTCTCTACAGCCTCTCTCTCTCTCTGTGGTTGGTCTCTACAGCCTCTCTCTCTGTGGTTTGTCTCTACAGCCTCTCTCTCTCTCTGTGGTTGGTCTCTTCAGCCTCTCTCTCTGTGGTTTGTCTCTACAGCCTCTCTCTCTCTCTGTGGTTGGTCTCTACAGCCTCTCTCTCTGTGGTTTGTCTCTACAGCCTCTCTCTCTGTGGTTTGTCTCTACAGCCTCTCTCTCTCTCTGTGGTTGGTCTCTACAGCCTCTCTCTCTGTGGTTTGTCTCTACAGCCTCTCTCTCTGTGGTTTGTCTCTACAGCCTCTCTCTCTCTCTGTGGTTGGTCTCTTCAGCCTCTCTCTCTGTGGTTGGTCTCTACAGCCTCTTTCTCTCTCTGTGGTTGGTCTCTACAGCCTCTCTCTCTGTGGTTTGTCTCTACAGCCTCTCTCTCTCTCTGTGGTTGGTCTCTTCAGCCTCTCTCTCTGTGGTTGGTCTCTACAGCCTCTCTCTCTGTGGTTTGTCTCTACAGCCTCTCTCTCTCTCTGTGGTTGGTCTCTTCAGCCTCTCTCTCTGTGGTTTGTCTCTACAGCCTCTCTCTCTCTCTGTGGTTGGTCTCTACAGCCTCTCTCTCTGTGGTTTGTCTCTACAGCCTCTCTCTCTCTCTGTGGTTGGTCTCTACAGCCTCTCTCTCTGTGGTTGGTCTCTACAGCCTCTCTCTCTGTGGTTTGTCTCTACAGCCTCTCTCTCTCTCTGTGGTTGGTCTCTACAGCCTCTCTCTCTGTGGTTGGTCTCTACAGCCTCTCTCTCTCTCTGTGGTTGGGCTCCAAAGCCTCTGTGTCTGTGCTCACCAGGCTGCAGCGGCTCCAGGGGCCCCAGTCGTTCAGCACACAGTCTTCGGGGCAGGGCAGCCGGCTCTCTCTGGCCCCCAGCGGCATTTCCTCCGGGTCACATAGGTAATCATCCACTGCCTCCGAGGGGCCATCAATGGTGTTCAGCATACAGCTGCACAGAGGAAGAACCAGTGTGAAAATGGATCACTCATCTTGGACTTAAAAAAACCGAATCCAATTTTGCATTAACACTTGGAATCCCAGAGCCCAGTTTGATTGTTCCGATTCAAATCAATAGGGAACAAACCTGAAATAATACACGAAAAAGTTGGTTTTCTACTATTAAGTATTTTCTTGAGGTTCTCTAAGGTCTAGGCTGGTGAATTTAACTGAAAAACAGGAACAACAGTTTGGTGAAAGGCTAATGCTAACTGTTGTGATGATGGTAAACAGTGTGATGTTACAATAACCAGCACCTGCTCTTCTCTGGTGGAAAACTCAGCTGAACCAGAACCCGACCAGGACCAGTACCAGTACCATGGAGAAAAGGGGAAATAACTGCCATGGAATGTTGGGCGGGACCAAATGCCCATAGAACCAGCTAGCAAAGGTTCAAATTGGCTTCCTCTGCATTAAGAACCAAGGATGTCATACACTGTCAGTCCACTCCTTATATTTTCTCAATAGTCTGGACTTGGGTCTTGACTTGGATTTGGACTCACCGGACTTTCCTGGTCTGGACTCCCTCTCCACAGTTCTCCTTCAGGTCCACGTTGCTGACTTTCCACAGGCTCCAGGGCTCAGCCACCCACACGTACTGACTGCAGTCACTCTGACAGGGGACCATCTCATAGACCTATGGAGACCACCACAAGTGTACTAATGTTTTCACAATGGTCAGCCACTAGGTCATCCTGACAATCTTTACTTCAGTCCTGATTCTACAGCCTAAGCCGGGGTTTTTACCAGCCTGACTCTCGCCAGACCCTTGTAGTTCTGTCATGCTCAAAAAAACAAAAAATAATCAGCCAATCAGGATCGGCGGTATTACGTTGGGTTTGCACCGCCTTCTTGTATGTGTTTCACAGCAGCCAAAGCAAACCAAGATGGCGGACATAAAGTTAGTGAATTAAAAATAAAAAGTTTGGATACGAACAAAGTACAACACAGATGTCAGTTTAATGCACTTTGAGGCAAGATGTTGATGGTTCTATATTGTCATATGTGTGTTTTAAGAATAAAATGTTCATGTAATGTTTGGTTTAAGTACTGGTTAAGTTCTCCTGTCACAACACGCAGCAGGGTTGCCAGGTTGGCTGGTTTCCTGCATACTTTTTTCCCAAGCGACTGTAGGTAACAAATAGACAGAAAGACAAAAAACAGAATCATGATAGCCTAGCGAGGAGTCGTGTGCTGAATTGTGAGCTTTGATGTGAGTGGTTGAAGGAAAACATCATTCAAGATAACAGACGGTTAGTGGTTTATCCAATCACATACAAGGATTTTTTTTTTTTACAAGGATTCTGAAATTAATCTGCAATGAAGCAGGCCCAGAACCTTGTGTGAAGCTCAGCAAACTACAACGGTCTGGCGAGAGTCAGGCTAGGAGTTTACAGCCTCAGTCCTGGATCTACAGCCTCACTCCTGAATCTAAAGCCTCAGTTCTGGATCTACAGCCTCACTCCTGAATCTAAAGCCTCAGTTCTGGATCTACAGCCTCAGTCCTGAATCTAAAGCCTCAGTTCTGGATCTACAGCCTCGGTTCTGGATCTACAGCCTCGGTTCTGGATCTACAGCCTCACTCCTGAATCTAAAGCCTCAGTCCTGAATCTAAAGCCTCAGTCCTGAATCTAAAGCCTCAGTTCTGGATCTACAGCCTCGGTTCTGGATCTACAGCCTCAGTCCTGGATCTACAGCCTCAGTCCTGGATCTACAGCCTCAGTCCTGGATCTACAGCCTCACTCCTGAATCTAAAGCCTCACTCCTGAATCTAAAGCCTCACTCCTGAATCTAAAGCCTCACTCCTGAATCTAAAGCCTCAGTTCTGGATCTACAGCCTCAGTTCTGGATCTACAGCCTCAGTCCTGGATCTACAGCCTCAGTCCTGGATCTACAGCCTCAGTCCTGGATCTACAGCCTCACTCCTGAATCTAAAGCCTCACTCCTGAATCTAAAGCCTCACTCCTGAATCTAAAGCCTCACTCCTGAATCTAAAGCCTCAGTTCTGGATCTACAGCCTCAGTTCTGGATCTACAGCCTCAGTCCTGGATCTACAGCCTCAGTCCTGGATCTACAGCCTCAGTCCTGGATCTACAGCCTCAGTCCTGGATCTACAGCCTCAGTCCTGGGTCTACAGCCTCAGTCCTGGATCTACAGCCTCAGTTCTGGATCTACAGCCTCAGTCCTGGATCTACAGCCTCAGTCCTGGATCTACAGCCTCAGTCCTGGATCTACAGCCTCAGTCCTGGATCTACAGCCTCAGTCCTGGATCTACAGCCTCAGTCCTGGATCTACAGCCTCAGTCCTGGGTCTACAGCCTCAGTCCTGGATCTACAGCCTCAGTTCTGGATCTACAGCCTCAGTCCTGGATCTACAGCCTCAGTCCTGGATCTACAGCCTCAGTTCTGGATCTACAGCCTCAGTCCTGGATCTACAGCCTCAGTCCTGGATCTACAGCCTCAGTCCTGGGTCTACAGCCTCAGTCCCGGATCTACACTTTCCCTGTAGATAGATTTAACAGTCTTCTGTGAGTGGTTCAAAGCTTCGGAAATGTTTGCATAACTTAATCGTTGGCCTTCCTCTCTGACCTCTCTGGTGTCCTCCTTGGTCTTCCTAGAACTACTGAGAGTAAATGATTAGTATTACTGCTTTGAAGAGACACTGTATTTTAGCAATATTAAGGAAGTCCTGCTTGAATAGTATCAATAATATAAAAAGTAACTTTCTAATAACTGTGGATTGTGTGGCATTCTTACCTGAGCCTTAAGCGTGTAAGATGTACCCAGGAAGCGTTTGAGAGAAAATGGGGAAAAAATATATTTCAGAGACAAACATTATTGACACAAGGGAAATTAACTGGACGCAGTAGTTTAAACAAACACACACACACATGCACACGTACAATTCCTGGTAGGTGAATGCTAATAAATGCTAAAGACTAAAACATTTGTTCACATTAGAATATAATAACAAGACTCTGTCCTGAAGTCCTTTCACCTTAGTCCTGGTCTCAGGTCTCTATGTACAATGTCTCCATGGTACCACTTCTGGTGCCCAGAGTCAGGACTAAAACATGGGAAGGCAGCGTATCAGATTTATGCGCCTAAAACCTTGAATAGTCTTTGGGAAAATGTGAGACAGGCTTCTACTCTAACAATGTTTAAATCTAGGTATAAAACTATTCAGTTTCACAGCAACAATTGAGGGGTTGTATCGTCACTCTTTTTAATGAACTGTGATTATTTGTGATTTGATGGATTATGTGATTTCATTTCTTGTTTTAGAAAAGACTTTGAGTTTCCTTTTATATAGAACTCAAAAGAACTCTGCAGCCAGCTGCTGTTGTGATAATGATGAATGTGTGTGGCCTTAACAATGCTGCAATCAGGCAAGAAAAGGTCACAGATTTAAGTGAAACAGCTTCACTTTCTCTGCATCAAAGGGATTTCTGAATTATTATCCGAGCTTAATGCATTCTTGTGGTTTATATTTGTTTGGAAAATATAAACAAAAAACATTGTTACATATTTAACACAAATCACATAAATGTTGTTTCCAGATGAAACATGAATTTCCAAAGAACTTAAAGGTATATAGGAGGATTTTCTACTTCCGGGTGGATCGTCAAGACTATTGGTCCTCCCAACTGTCAATCATTCTGCTGATACGGCGTCGTCCAATAAGACCAGAGAGTTTGGTTCAAAAAGTGGAGAAGGCGGTACTTTCCTAAAAATTGGGAAAATCCTCCTATATACCTTTAAAATAGAATTTAGAGCTAACAATAGAGCTAACAGTATAAGAGTTAACAGAGTTAAAAAGGATTTAACATCAGCCCAGTTTTCACCAGTTCTGCGACAGTAAAATGAGAGAGTTGACAATAGAAATTGGCCTTTAGTTCACATGGCGCCAGTGTTTCATGGGGGAGGAAACGTAAGCTTCAGAGTGGAATAAAACGAATACGCTGTGCAGCGGGAGCCATATCGAAGCTGTGTGAAAAAAGTTGCAAACTCACTGGCTGCAATGACCTCACCACTTCCTCCCATACATGTGGCCATGCGCAATAGCCCTGAGGAGGATGTTGTCGAGGAAGTGATTCAACTGGCAGAGTAAAGTTTCGCTGCCCACTAATGTCCAGGCACGAGAACTACATCAATTTCGCTCTCTGTGTGTAGACGGACGCTTTGCACTTCAAATCTGGAGTGGGGTCGTTTTAGCAAATTGCTTGGCTGCGTCTCCAGGTAAAGAGTCTGCTCTGCTCCATTCTGCTCAACTCTACTCTACTAGTGTTTCTACTGGCCCTGTTTAACCAGTAAGGTCTTTCTTTAGTCCATCTTGGCCCTGGTTCTATCCAGGCCAGGCTGGTTCTCATTGTTCTAACAAACAATGGGCCTCATTCACGAATAACTTTGTAAGAAACTACTCAACTTTCTTCTCAAGTTGTCCTTAAGTAGATTTCTAAGAAGTCCCCACGTGGGATTCATCAACGCGCTCGTAAGCCGCTGAATTGTTCGCCGCTGTTCTCTTAGATCAGTGTCTCCCAAAGTGGGGTCCGCGGCCCCCTGGTGGGCCGCGAGGGTACTGCAGGGGGGCCGCGGGAAGTCATAAAAAAAATAAAAAATAAATATAATTATTTAATGTTAAATTTATAATGTTTTGTTTGTAATATTAAAATATTTGTGTTCATTATTTGACTTGAATAATCCACTGTAATCATTTTTGTATTACAATGTTTGTAGCAGAGGCTATTTCCCCAAAATAAAATAACCAGAAGAGCCTATTCTTAATGTTGTCTTCTTGGTTATTATTTTGGGGGGCCACGCAGACCCGTCAGATTTTTAAGGGGGCCTCGCTGTTACTGAGTTTGGGAATGGCTGTCTTAGATTGATGAATCCCATTTCCTCGTAAGCACAGCGCGCGTGGCAGGTGCTTCATTAGCATAGGTACTTAGCATAAGTAACCGCCCACTAATGCCCATATAAGGGACTGCAGGGCCGTGTGCAGACGCCAGAGGAAACAGCAACAGGCCTTTACACGAGCAAAAGAGTCACCCTTTTTTCTTCTTTTACCAGACTGAGAATAAAGTTATAAAATGTTGACTTAAAAGTCGAAATATTATGATAATAAAGTCAAACTAGCAAAATTATGAGATTAATCTAAGAATATGATGAGATTAATCTAAAATGTTATGAGCTTAATTTAAAAATATATTATGTATTATTTTAAAGATGAATCTCAAAATGTTTTGAGATTAATCTCAAAATATTTTGGACCCTGGGAGGAGATCCAGCGCGGACCAGCGCTGAGACCAATGCAGACCCGAGGAGAGACTGGAGTGACCAGCACACAGAAACCAGCGCGGACATATAGAGACCGCATAGACTGGAGAGACCGGTGCGCAGAGACCAGTGCGGACCTATAGGAGAGACCGCATAGACTGTAGTGACCTGACTGGAGAGACCGGTGCGCAGAGACCAGCGCGGACCGAAGAGAGACCGCATAGACCAGACTTGAGAGACCAGCGCGGACCCGTATGGATCCTGGAGCATGCAGCACGGACCCGTATGGAGAGACCAGTGCAGACCCGTATAGATCCATAGGAGAGACCAGTGCAGACCCGTATAGATCCATAGGAGAGACCAGTGCAGACCCGTATAGATCCATGGGAGAGACCAGTGCAGACCCGTATAGATCCATGGGAGAGACCAGTGCAGACCCGTATAGATCCATGGGAGAGACCAGCGCAGACCCGTATAGATCCATGGGAGAGACCAGTGCAGACCAGTATAGATCCATGGGAGAGACCAGCGCAGAGACTCAGCGCGGACCCAGTAACCTCCTGCAGCAGCAGTATATATGCCGTTGTTCTGTGGCCCGTGGATAAAGAAATGCCCCCTATAAATAGGAAGGGGTCACTAATACACGGCAAGATTTCCAATGTATTTGATAAAGCGTTGGCACATTTCATTTCAAAATGAATTAAAAAGTAGGCCAGATCTGCAGTGAAAAAGGCGGTATATAAATAAAGATTACTAATAAAGATTACTACAAATAAATAAATACATACATCGATATGACGGACATATCACTGGAATGTTGTATTTTTATTCAACTTCACCAAAGAGGACAACCCCGGCGTGTGAACATGTCGGCACTGAATGCGTACGAGTGCTCCTGAGGACTCGTAGGATTTGTACTTGCCCAAGAGATATTCTGGTTACGAGAAATATTCGTGAATGCCACTTTCTTCGTAAAAACCGCGTAAGTAGGATTTACGTGCAAATCTGTTCCTAAGAACCGTTCGTGAATGAGGCCCATTGATTGGCCAGAGTTGCCGGAGACTCACTATAATTTTGGCATTTCGTCGAGGTTGCGAGTATTAACATTTTGTTACTAAAGCAAAACACCACCAGTAGAGAAGAGTAGTAATAAAGAGTAATTAACATGATCAGTCTATGCTTTGAAGTAATAAATGATCATAGAAAGTATGGATTCTAACAAGCTTTAATGGCTGATTAGTGAATTCAAAGGATTTACCACATGCACAAACTTTCAGAGTACTTGAAAAACAGGTCTCTCTTAGTGTCTGTACCGGACTCGCACCTGGTTGATGTGGTCCAGCTTGGGGCAGGGTCGTCCTCCGTTGTAAGGTTTTTCCCGGAGCCACTTGGAGCGCACTTTGACCCCGCTGCCGCAGGACTTACTGCAGCGTGACCAGTTGGACCACTCGCTCAGCTTACAGTCCGAAGGGCAAGGGATGATGCAGGCCTCCTCGATGTAGCCTGAAGAAACAACAGATCTAATCACTGAAGCAGGATATACAGTGGTTGTGGTATAATGTATACTGTAGAAAACAGTGCAAAGTGCACCCCTCTCCCAGCCTGGGAGGGCCTCTTCAGTCCTTGGTGTACAGCCTCTGTCCTGGATATATAGCCCTAGTCCTGGTTCTGCAGCTTCAGTTCTGTATCTGCAACCTCAGTCCTGGATCTACAGCCTCAGTCCTGGATCTACAGCCTCAGTCCTGGATCTACAGCCTCAGTCCTGGATCTACAGCCTCAGTCCTGGATCTACAACCTCAGTCCTGGATCTACAGCCTCAGTCCTGGATCTACAGCCTCAGTCTTGGATCTACAACCTCAGTCCTGGATCTACAGCCTCAGTCCTGGATCTACAGCCTCAGTCCTGGATCTACAGCCTCAGTCCTGGATCTACAGCCTCAGTCCTGGATCTACAGCCTCAGTCCTGGATCTACAACCTCAGTCCTGGATCTGCAGCCTCAGTCCTGGATCTACAGCCTCAGTCCTGGATCTACAACCTCAGTCCTGGATCTACAGCCTCAGTCCTGGATCTACAGCCTCAGTCCTGGATCTACAGCCTCAGTCCTGGATCTGCAGCCTCAGTCCTGGATCTACAGCCTCAGTCCTGGATCTACAGCCTCAGTCCTGGATCTACAGCCTCAGTCCTGGATCTGCAGCCTCAGTCCTGGATCTACAGCCTCAGTAGATCCCGATTTACGGTCTGTCTACCTCTCCCAGGTTTCTATGGGCCTCACTCAGGTTTCTCACATTTTCTCTGCTGGGTTTTTAAGTGGTTTCTTGCCGAGGTAGGAGGGTCTAAGGACAGTGATGATCCAGGACATCTATAAACATTTCAGGACAGTGGTCATCCTCCTATATGTTTGTTCTTATTGCATTTCTATGTTTTGATCTGTCCTTGGAGATGACTGCCGTTGTGATTTAGGGGTAGATCCAGGAGTAAGGCAATATATCCGGGACTGAGGCTGTGTGCTGCAGGACACCTTGTTTATTGTGTAAATCCTGCTGCTTTGAAAGGTGCTCTATAAATAAATGTTGATCGATTGTTGATACATGGCCCTGAGGGGGAAGAGGGAACACCAGTGCTTGATACTCGCTGCAGGAACACAAAGTCGATGTGGTGATCATGGTAATTAGTGAAGTCAATGGAGCACAAGGCCTGTGTGTGTAACTGACTGCAGAGATCAATGAGTGAATGAGGCGTCTCTGGTGTTAATCACTTCCTCTCACACTCCTGTTACGTTAGAGGCAAAGACAAACCATTGGATGTGTGATATTATGTGCAGGGTGCTGTTGCTGAAACCCCTCTCCACATGGACAAAGCCAGCTGCCATTTCTCCCGGTTTATTAACACTCATTATGTGTAAGGGATAGTTTCACATGTCCTCTGTCTGTATCAAGCCCTGTTTCCAAAATGTAATAGATGTGGTAATATTTGAAATGTGCTGTGAGATCATTGCAGACAAAGAAAAATTCACCAACAACATAATATTAAACAGTTCGAACACAGGAAATACAATAAAAACAAACACATGGGGGCCATAGGTCTGAATTGTAAACAAATAAACTCTTTCTTTTTTTTTCCCCGATGGATCCCTTTTGAATTAAATCCTGAAGTTAGAGGAAAAATTTTTTGGAATGAAACCCAGAAATAAATCAAATGCAATATTCCCCAGTTAAATTAATGCGTTACGTTCATTCTAAATAATCCAGTTCTTTGCCTCAGAAGTTCTTGACAGAAAACTTTCCAACACGACTGAGTAACAGCGCTGAGGATCGCTTCTGTAAGTGGATCATATAAATCTTCTTATTTTAGTCCTGAAGCTGGAGTCTGCTTTACTGTATCCTTCCTGGCGACTTAGGATGCTCCCTCCTCACCTCCATCGCTGAGACAATCACTATCCAATGCGCTACCGGTTCTTGACAAAAAAAAACATAGATTGGAAAAGAAAAATCCAGATTTTTGTGCGACAAATTTGAGTCTCTCTTGTCCGCTCTCATCTATGTTTGCGCAGGTCATCAGCATCTCCTTCCAAACACTTACTGCTCAGTGTTGCCCTCTAAGGTTAGCTCTGATTGGTCAAAACGCTCACTCTCTAATTCACAAACGATGCAACAGCACAGACCAGGACCAGAGACTGGACCGGGAAGCAGTTTCTTGCACTTAAGTTTGGATTTACTGAAAACCCATAGATAAAGCTATATGTTCTCTGTCAGCCGAGGTTGAGTTGTTTTAGTTTACTTTGAGTTCTATGGGACATTTTTCTGGGTAGGGCAGCTTTAGCTAGTAATACCTTGTTACAACACAAAGCTAACGACGTGAGAACAAATGTTACAAGCTTATGTTCAAAGAGGTTGATTTTGGTTCTTGACAAGGCTCCAATCTCTTCTTTCTCTCATGAACTGCAATATAGAGCTACTTTGGCCAAGCCTGTAGATAACCAGTTTTTAAAACTGTCACTGAAATAAAATGTTATGTAATGTTTCCCCTTTGACTACATATATCCATGTGCATGAGTTTCTGAGAAAAAATAGTGAGAACATGCAAATAATGTCTGCAGTGGCACAGTCCACATCTGGGTCAGTGCAAAGCTGCAGGTCAAAGGAGTGGCACCTGACACAGGCCTCCGTCCCTTCTCCTCAGGCCTCTCCTTATATGGGCGAGGCCTCTATAAAGGTCAGGACTTTATCTTCACGCTGGGAAATGTTTATAGACCGCGCAAATAACCTGCCAAGATACAGCAGACTCATTATTCATATGTATGACTTGGGACTGGACTACTGGGTTTAGGTACATGTACTCACGAACATTATCATATTTCAGGTTTTCTGCAAAACGAGGACAAATGAAAAAAAAAAAACTCCTCAGATGTAACACTGATCATTCTTAGACAAAAACCTTCCCTTTGTATGTCGCAGACAAACTCACAGCAGTGTAACTGAGATGAATGGATGATATTGTTGTGCGTTCCATAAACTATAAGTCACATTTCATTTTCCTCCCGTTACATAAAGCTTTATTTTGGACACAAGGTCCATTTATAGTAAAAGGACCTGTTGGTTTTTTGTCTGAGCGCTGCTGAAAATACGCTGTAAAATACAGCTGCAGAGAGAGACAAGAGAGACCAAAGAGAGAGACCAAAGAGAGAGACCAGAGGGAGAGACCAGAGGGAGAGACCAGAGGGAGAGACCAGAGAGAGAGACCAGAGAGAGAGACCAGAGAGAGATAAGAGAGCCACAAAAGTTCTCTTTGACTTTTAATAAAGCAATTCTGCATTCCAGACACAAGATCTACAGTATATACATAAAAAGACAGGCAAAAAGACAAACACAAAAAACAAAACAAAATCAGAAATCAGACACCCAAACTTTTGGTTTGGGTATGCGATATGTAATAGCTTTTTGAGTATATTTTACAGCAGAATGAGATGGCTGAAATTAATAAATTAAATCCTTCAAATGGATCTTGGCAGATATCTCCCAGCTCGTCCTCATGCTCAAATAACAAGTGAAATATTCATCTGATGTCTGTGTTTGAAAGCTCGTCTCCGGCTCCACACTCTCATCTCAAACACATGAAGCAGAAACTCAGGTGAAATGGCTGTGAAATAGAAGGCGTTGGAGATGGGGCTTTAGTCTGCGCTACAAACACACATTCAGCCTCAGTTCTGGATTTAAAACCTCAAACCTGGATGGAGAACCTTAGTCCTGGATCTACAGCTTCAGTTCTGGATCTACAGCTTCATTATTGGATGCAGAAGGGTCTGAGGACATTGTTGAGTTTAGTTATTATGTAATATTTCTGTATTTTATTGCGTTCCATAGTTTTTAATAGCCCTAAAGGTGACAGCTTTGATGTTGAAACATGTTTCGATTAAATAAAATGTATTTTTTATAGACCCAAATCACAACAGTATTACAGAATCAAACAGTTCAAACTCAAGAAATGCACTGATCTGTATATAAACACACACACACACACACACACACATAGAACCATTGGTCCATAAGGGGCAGATGACCAACGTCTATAAATGTTAATGAAGTCCATGAAAGATGTTGAATGTCAAGTGTCCTGGATCAGTGCCACCGCCCTTAGGCTTAGACCCTCCTGCATCGGCAAGGAAAAAGTCTAACCTGTTTTTAAGCTTTTGTTTCAAGCTAGAATGTGTTCGAACCAGCAGAGTGGAAGCCTTCTATGTGCAGTGAAGACTGTGAGAGGCTCATGTGGGAGTGAGGAGAGGATCTTTGTGTTTAGTCTCTTCAGGTGCGGAGCCAAGAACAGGTTTGGCATGCAACCTGAGATCTGACAACAATGATTAAAGCCTGTAGAGTGGTGGTCTGAATCCGCTTCCATTGTGTCAAAAATAGAAAGAGACTGAATGTGTTTATATTTTGAGTCTTACCCCTTTATATAACTTTTACTCACTCAGATAAGCCCCATGGATATTTCAGGGACCAGAGAGACCAGAAAGAGAGACAAGAGAGAGACCAGAGAGAGGAACCAGAAAGAGACCAGAGAGAGAGACCGGGGAGAGTCCAAGGACAAGACCAGAGAGAGAGACCAGAAAGAGACCAGGAAGAGAGACCGAATAGATACCAGGGAGAAAGACCCTAAAGAGAGACTGGAGAGAGACAAGTGAGAAGGATCAGAGTGGGAGACCAGAGAGACACCAGAGAAAATGGAGAGAGAAGAAGAGAGAGGAGGAGAAAGAAGGGGAAGAAAGAGGAGAAGAAGGGAGAGCGAGATTCTACCGAAGTTGTGTCGCTTAGGTTTAGGAACACAGGGCTTGAAAGTGTGTGTGTGTGTGTGTCTCTCTCACTCTGTGTTTATCTGCGTGCAGGTGAGGCATCCCGCAGCAGCACACACAGTTTCATTTGCAGAACTCGGTGCTTTGGAAAATGACATTTTAAAAATGTAATAGAAAGTGTTTTTTGTAAACACACAGTTCTCTCTGCAGGGAATAGAGTCGTTTGTGTGTTCGCTCATGCTCTGTGTGCGACACCAGCTGAATACAGCAGCAGCTCAGATATAGAGCAGAGAGAGGAGAGGGGAGGAGAGAGAGAGCAGGATAGAGAGGATAGAGAAGAAGGGAGAAAGAGGGGAGTGGAGGAAAGAGAATAGAGACAGGAGAGAGGAAAGAAAGAGGTGAGAGAGAAGAAAGGAGAAAGTACGTGGGAGGAGAGAGGAAAGAAGAGAGGAGGAGAAGGGAGACGAGACGAGAGAGTAGGTGAGAGGAGCAGGAAGAGAGAGGGGAGAGGAGAGAGAGAGAGGAGGAGAGGGGAGACAAAGGGAGAGGAGGAGATGGAGCGATCAGGACCACGGTACAACAACAATACAGTCGACTGCAGATAACGTTGTGTATGCTGAGGTTTAGGGACACAGGACTCAAACGTTTCAATGTATTTACTTAGTTCTTTACACATTTGTTGTGCTCGAAGCAGAAGCCCTGGTTGTGTCAGAATCTTTTATAAGACTTTTTGTGCAACTATTTAAACACTGAGCTGGGTATTACAACAGTATGTAAAAGCCAGTAGCTTTCCACTTTATGTTTCTGTTCTGCTCTCTCTCCCTCTAGTCTCTCTTTGGTCTCTCTCTCTGGTTTCTCTGGTTTTTCTTTAGTCTCTTTCTCTCTCTGGTCTTTCTTGGGTCTCTCTCTGGTCTCGCTTTCTAGGCTCTCTCTTTCTTGGCTCTCTCTCCCTGGTCTCTCTCTGGTCTCTCTCTCTCTGGTTCTCTCTCTGGTCTCTCTCTCTAGTCTCTCTCTGGTCTCTCTCTCTGGTCTCTCTCTGGTCTCTCTCTGGTCTCTCTCTGGTTCTCTCTCTGGTCTCTCTCTGGTTCTCTCTCTGGTCTCTCTCTCTAGTCTCTCTCTGGTCTCTCTCTCTGGTTCTCTCTCTGGTCTCTCTCTGGTCTCTCTCTGGTCTCTCTCTGGTCTCTCTCTGGTCTCTCTCTGTCTCTCTCTCTGGTCTCTCTCTGGTCTCTCTCTGGTCTCTCTCTCTAGTCTCTCTCTGGTCTCTCTCTGGTCTCTCTCTGGTCTCTCTCTGGTCTCTCTCTGGTCTCTCTCTCTGGTCTCTCTCTGGTCTCTCTCTGGTCTCTCTCTCTAGTCTCTCTCTGGTCTCTCTCTCTGGTCTCTCTCTGGTCTCTCTCTGGTCTCTCTCTCTGGTCTCTCTCTGGTCTCTCTCTGGTCTCTCTCTCTGGTCTCTCTCTGGTCTCGCTCTCTGGTCTCTCTCTAGTCTCTCTCTGGTCTCGCTCTCTAGTCTCTCTCTGGTCTCTCATGCCACACTCACCATGACTATTGCAGCGGGAGGTCTCCACCAGCCGGTTGTCCTGGTCGTAGCACACCATGGCCTGGTAGCGATAGCCCTGGCCACACTCCTTGACCTCGGTCTGGCCTCTCACAGCAGGGGCCCCTCCCTCAGGCTTCCCCAGGGGCCCAGGGCCAGCCGGAGACTCGGGCAGGATGCAGTCGGACCAGTTCCCCACGGGCTGAGCGTTGTACTTGTCACAGGGACAGTACTGAGTCTCACTCAGCGGGTACATCTGTGTGTTCTTACATTTGTCCTTCTTCTTACTCCGGCCTGGAGACAAGAAACAAGTTTATTTGTATAGCATAGTTTATGTACAAGGCAACTCAAAGTGCTTAACAGAACAGGAAAAGGACAAAGAAAAGGAAATAAACATTAAAATCACAGAAGACATCCAAATAAACATCACAGTGCCATTGCTGGTCTCTATTTCACCAGTGTTTCTATAGTCTTTCTCTCTGGTCTCTCTCTAGTCTTTCTCTGGTCTCTCTTTCTGGTCTCTCTCTGGTCTCTCTCACAGCGGTCTCTCTCAAATTTTTCTCTCTCGTCTCTCTCTGGTTCTCTCTCACTGTTCTCTCTCTGGTTCTCTCTCACTGTTCTCTCTCTGGTTCTCTCTCACTGTTCTCTCTCTGGTTCTCTCTCACTGGTCTGTTTCTGGTCTCTCTTTCAGTTAGAGAGACTAGAGACCGAAGAGCGAGACCAGACACCATGACATCACACTCAGCAGTTTTTGGCCTTTAAAACAAATGGCATTTGACCTGGGAAAAAAGGTGAAATAACCTTCTTTACAATCACATGTTGGTGTTTTCAGCTCTCTCTGGTGGCAGTAGAGGGCGCTACCGGGAGCTCTGACTGCAGACGCTGTTCTCTAACCTTCCACACTTATTTCACCATATTTTTTTCAACATGATAATATATCGTTTCACATTCTAAAGCAGGGAACTATAGTAACTAAGTAACTAATTTACTGGCGAAGACAATGAATAATATATCTTCTTTAAGTTCAACATTTTGAACCAGATTTACGTAGCCCGGTTTAAGAGAGCCAGACCCAGTGTGAAGGCACCCTCAAAATTAACTTCCTGCTTTTCTCTGTCACCACAGTGTCTCACCATGTTTTTGTTTGTGACATCTTCCCACATCCGCTCTGTGGGACCCTGACAGGTAAGTGCTTCATTACAATCAGCATAATGTCTGATTCTTACACAACAGAGGGTTACATCATCTCTTCATCTCCCTCATATATTCGTATAACAAGATTTTTGTTACACCAAAAGCAATGAATTCTACTGACTGACAGGTGAATTAGTCCTGTCTTTGTTCTGTTATTGCCTTGACTAAGCTCTGCCAATCAGTGACCTACCCCATGTGGTAAAGCTTGTATGAACTCTTATGATCTAAAGAAGACTTTTGCTGGGTCCATGGGGAGAGGGCTGGCAGGAGTATCTCTTTTACGACGTTATTTTTAATTGTAGGACTTCCAGACTGTCTTGGATCAACAACCTCGGCCTCAGTCCTGGATCTACAGTCTCAGTCCTAGATTGACAGTCTCGGTCCTGGAGCTACAGCCTCAATCTTCAATCTATAGCCTCTGTCCTAGATCTACAGCCTCAGTCATTGAGCTATAGTCTATCTGTCCGTGGTAACAAATTCCTCTCTAAGTGTGGGTCTCCTCGAGGTTACTCACATTCTTACCACTGCGTTTCTGAGTGGTTCCATGCAGATGTAGGAGGATCTAAGTACAGAATGATCCAGGACATTTATTACCATTTCTGGACAGTGGTCATCCCGCTACCTATGGACCAATATGTGTCCGAACTAATTGATTCTCTGATCTGTTCTCTGTGAATCTACAACTTTGTGAAGTCCTCGGACAATCATCTGTTTAGATTTAGGGCGATACACAAATATATTTCATTAAAGTGAGTAGTCCTATGTAACCTTATTAAACTACTCAAATGCCATTCTTTGCCTGGATCATTCATTTTCAACCCTTTTATAAGTACATTTCTGGGTCAGGGGGGTGACAATGAGAGCTGCCACCCAAGTCTCATAGCACCAGTCCCTCACTGATCCTCCTGCAGGTGGTGGGTCCACAGGAAGATGGCTTCTGATCCGTCAGCGATGACACAGCCTTGTTCTTTCTGTGGGGGCTTCAGGCAACGTGGGGTTAAGTGTCTTGCCCAAGGGGCCCTGCTCCAGTTGTCCAGTTGGGGCAGACACACAATAAGGGGAGAGTAGAGTAGACTTCTCCCCTATCCTCCTCCCGTAATACCCGGCCCTTACCGTGTCCTCCCCCATCCTTACCTATCAAAGCTCTCTTCCTGGAGCGCACCCCCACGCAGTCTGCCGTGCAGGGGGAGAACTTGGACCAGGGGCTGAGCTGGCAGTCGTCCTGACAGGGCAGCAGGCAGCGCTGGGTCGAGGGGGGCATGGAGCGAGCCCACCTCAAGCACTGGCCCACCTCCGCTTGGGTGCCATCCAGCTGCCGACAGGAGACCGCTGTGGGACAGAGCCACAGACAGAGGTCAGGGGAGGGACAGAGAGACAGAGAGAGGAGAGACAGAGAGACAGGGAGGAGAGAGAGACAGAGAGAGGAGAGACAGAGACACAGGGAGGAGAGAGAGACAGAGAGAGGAGAGACAGAGAGAGGAGAGACAGAGAGAGGAGAGACAGTGACACAGGGAGGAGAGAGAGACAGAGAGAGGAGAGACAGAGAGAGGAGAGACAGAGAGAGGAGAGACAGAGGAGAGACAGAGAGAGGAGGGACAGAGAGACAAGAGATGAGAGACAGAGACACAGAGAGGAGAGAGAGACAGAGAGAGGAGAGACAGAGAGAGGAGAGACAGAGAGGGACAGGAACAGAGACACAGAGAGGAGACACAGAGACACAGAGAGACTAAAAAAGGTAAAGGTGCACTTTATTAATCCCCGTAGGGCAATCATCCTCTACTTTTGACCCATCCTGATGCCGCGAAGGCTTACGTCAGGAACAGTGGGCGCCGTAGTACAGCGCCCGGGAACCCATCTCCAGATGTTGATGCTCGGCTTGGTCAGGACCGGAGCTGGAGGATTTAACCTAGTGAGCATGTTTTTAGTTTTGTTGTTTGTCCCAACAAAGAGTCCAGAAAACCACTCTGGTTACTGCTCTGGTGTTGGCTCTATAGAACCACACAGTCTGAGTATACTGTGCAGAATATATATGTTCGGCAAGGTTATATTCTCTGCTGCTACAGTCTAATAGCACCCATTTGTAAATGTGAAACCTCATGACTGCTGTTGGCACTGTGCACTGTATACGCCACAAGTGACTTCCTTTCTCGAACCAAGAGCAATAAAAGCTCAAGAGTTTATCATCTTTTTGGTAGAGCATTGGCCTTTGAGCCTGAAGGTCAAGGGTTCGAGCCCTCTCCACCAACTCCCACTGTTGTTGTGTCCTTGGGCAAGACACTTAATTGTACGCTGCATGCCTTGATGTGTATATGTGCATCCATCAAACTGAAATTGCCCCACTGTGGAACGAATAAAGGACTTTCTTCCTATTCTATTGTCTGTTCTCTTAAATATCCTGTTTGATGTGTGCATAACCTGAGTGCTATTTTTTCTTCTTCTATTCTGCTGTAATGTGCACAGCGATGACATAAAGCTTTATCTTATCTTAACAGGGGCAGACATGTTGCTAAGGAAAGCCGTGCATGAAGGCAACTGATTGGTCAAGACTTGCTCATATCTGAATTCACAAAGACAATATCGCAATGTAAACACCAGGATCACAGAGAGCACTAAACCACAAATTAAAGCCAAAAACGGTGTGTGAGCTAGAAGAGTTTACTTTGTTTTGATGCAAGTCAATAGGAGCCAGAGCAAGTTGGAGCATTGTCCGTCTCTATACAGCCATTTCCTTTGCAAAAATAGAGAGAATAGTGCGATTGTCTTTGAACAGCCTCACATGGGTTAGGATTGTGTTGTTGTTATGAGACACTGATGATAAAGTCGCACACAGTGGATTCTTGTTGATTATTATAATATTTTGAAAGATCATCTTCTGTTGTATTTCTCCTCGACAAACGCTGCTCAGAGACGATTGACATTTAAGTACGGGGAAAATATGTATTACACCAAATGTTTCCTTAAAATATCAGTCATGGTGTTTACATAAGTAAGAAAAGAAATACATGAGAGCAGAGAAACATGCTATTAAAGCTGAAGCTAATGTTTTCAAATGTGGCCATTACTGTTGCCTATTCTGTGGCTATACTTGCATGGGAAAGCCAGACCTCTGAAACTGTGCCAGGCAGGACCTGGTTAGCTCTGTGATGGGAGACCTCTGTCACTCGCTCTTCCTGAATCATCTGGAATCCTGCTCTCACTAACTGGCACAGAGAAAGAGATAAAACTGCGAGGCCTGCGGTGAAAAGTGCCGCCGGAGAGGCCGACTGTGAGAGAATTCTGTGAAAAGCAAATACTGAGGTTTCTAATGGTGGAGTGTGGTCAGGGGGGAGCACTGAGGGAGGAGAGAATACTGAATGAGGAGGGAGTATTGTAGGAGGTAGTTCTGAGGGAGGGTCTTGAGTTCATTTATTCATTCATTTTCTGCCCCTTTATTAGTCCATTTCTGTGTCGGGGGGGCTGACCCAGAGCTGCCACCCAATACTCATAGCACCAGTCAAGTCTGGGGCTTAAGTTACTTTCACCAAACCCTCTCTGTCCAGTTATCAAAGCCAGAACTTTTAATTGAACTTTCATCGTCTATTTATTGTACCACTTAAATAGTAGGGGCCGACCTACCACACTATTGGGCAAGAGGAAGATCCTGTCTGGGGGCCTGTACTACCAGGGGGCACCCAAGAACTTAAAGATGGACGATCTCACTTTATTTATTTATTCATTAAGGAAATCCAATCCATATCCATGCAGTGCATTGGAATATACTGTACGTCCTTTTGAAGAATAAGTAGCACAGGTTTGTACTGGAGTGTAATTTTATTTTAGATCGGCCCAGTGATCACAGTGGACCACTGGGCCATTTCTTGAGAAAAGCTACAGGTCTCTCTCTACAGCTGAGGTAGACAAGCATCATGGCAGTAAGTTACCTGCTTAAACAGCCAAACAGCCAAAAGAAACCGCGCTTCCCGGTTCCATCATTCTATGGTCACGCCATCTACGTTCAAATGTGTAATCCATGTTGTGAGACGTGAGCACCGTAAACAGCACATGAGCCCACGCTGAGTGGGAGGGGGGTAGTGGGGGGCGATAGCTTCTCATATGGGTCTCCCTCCCTGTGGGTTTCCCTAGTGCTCCCCAAGGTTTCTCACTTTTTCCCATTGGGTTCTTTAAGAGTTGTTCCTTGTCGATGCAGGAGGGTCTTGTTGGACAGTTAGTGTCCAACAGAAAGGATTGGTGATGATCAGGACACTTTAGCATTCTACAACATGTATGGACATTTTCTTCTGTGTGTGCTTTATATTCTTCATGTGTTTTAACTGTTGATTCTCTGACCTGTGTTGGTGATTTCAATGGTTTTGTTAAGTCTCGGAGATGACTTCTGTTGTGACCTAGGGCTATACAAGAATAAATTGTATTGTATTGTATTGTAGCTTCGTGAGAGAGGGCAACGCTTATGTTTGAAACTGTTGCTTCGAAATCACAAAGTCAGTCCAGCTTTAAATGTTTTTGTTAAATTTATAAATAATAAAAGAAATAAAACAGCATTCGAAAAAGTATTCAAAAATGTAACATCCTGGCCTACTCCTCTCATCTAAAATGGACTGATCCTCTGACGTCAAGGCTGTCAAACTAGGAAGATAACAAGGAATTATTCTTTTTCTAGTGAAACTGGGGGGTAATATGTCAAATTTATATTTTCTTACACTCCACATTGTCGGAGAAGCTGGGTTTCCATACAGGGTTTGGTGCTAGGGAACACAGGAGCAACCGGAGGAAACCAACTCAGACACAAGGAGAACAGTTCTGGAAGTGGATGCGACCCCAGGACCTTTCTGCTGTGAAGCAAGATGCCCTCAGCCTGAGGGAGTGATGGGGGTGAAGTGTGTATGTGTGTGTGTGTACGTGTGTCTCGTTTGTGTTTTATGTGTGTTTGTGTTATTAACCTTATTATTAACCAGACTTCTCAATAGAACTTAAACAGCTTCAGACTCTGACGCTGGTAGAGCTCACGATCCCCTACGGTAACCCACGGTGACCAACAGGAATGCATGGTAACCCAAACCCACCTTTATCAATTGTAACAGTTACTGTTATCGGCAACACGTTTTGCGAAGGTTACCGCCTACACCTGTTACCGTGACAACCATAGTAAGGACAGACAAATAGTTCCCACTCCTATAGAACATGCACTTACTCATCATACATAAACGTTTTGTGGTTATGCCGGGAGGGAGGTATGGTTGCAGAAACATGGAGCACAAGAGTATAAGAAGCATAGGAACTATAATAGGTAGGACTAGGATTGATAGAACAAGGGATGTAACTGTTAGGGAGAGGTTAGGCAACTGTTAGCTTAATGCTGTGGAACTTCCCCCCAAAGATTGAGTCTGAATATTTTATTATTTACAGCTCAACAAATCACCAAAATGACGATAAAGGGTCACATTTCTTGCCTCAAATGTTGCTAAAAGTAACATTTGTGCCCTATCTATTGTATTATTGATTAGAACTGTCATCTTGGACGTGGTTCTCTCTCTACTAAGCCACAAAAAACCCATTCTAAATAAAAGGACAAAATAACTACGTGTCCTTCGGCCCTTTGCTATGCACCCTGGTCACGTGTTTTGCAACCCAGCAATAAATAGATTGACAGTTATACCTCTGGTCTGCAGGCCCGGGCCACACCCGTCCTGTGCGTTGGGGACGTCCTGCCGTAGCAGCCACGGCACCAGCTGACACCTCCTCCACTTGTGTGTCTTCCACCTTCACACAATGTTAGGATGTTATAATGATCATATTTGAATTATGATATACCACTGATGAATTGAGGTGTGTTTGGAGAGGAGCTGATACCTGAACCCAGGGCAGGACTGGGGCGCCTCACAGTCCCTCTGCTCCTCCAGGACCTCAGGGCACTCCAGGCCTCCGTTTGTGGGCTCCTGAAGGACTACTCTACGGCGACTTTGCTGACTGCCAACAGAGCTGAGAGCTGAGAGAGAGAGACACACACAAACACACACAGTGAGTTACACATTCAGAAAGAGACACAGAGAGAGAGAGAGAGAGAGACAGACACACAGAGACACAGCGATAGAGAGAGAGAGAAACACAAAAAGAGACACACAGAGATAGAGAGCCACCCATACAGATATAGAAAGAGAGAGTCACAAAGAGGGACACAGAGAGACGCACACACACAGACACGCACAGAGACACACACACACACACACACACACACGCTCGCACGCACGCACACACACACACACACACACACAATCTGTATTAAAACGTGTAATATGAGAGATGACATCAGTTAATGATGTTGTGAGTGACATTGGGATGTTATTGTGTTATTATTATGCAAAGTGTGTGTTGCAGTTTGACTAATGTGGCACCTGTCACGGTTTATCATATGTGATTCATAGATCTATCTATTTTAGACATGGATCATTCATCTTTTTTTCAATTTTGATTAAAAGGAGTGGGTATATTTTATTTAACCAAAAAAAGAAAGAAAATAAAAGTTGTTTTGAAAAGTCAGATCTATCTTAGAGCCATACAAATAAAGATTCACCTCTTCCTCAGCAATTTCATTCAAACGTGCTGCTGATAACAAAACACGATGAAGATTGCTAGAGACCAGAGAGAGAAAGAGACTAGAGAAAGACCAGAGATAGACCAGAAAGAGACCAGGGATCATACTGTTTTTGCAAATGAACTCTTCTGCTGTCAGTCTCCCCTGCCTCCCCCTGTGGGCAGTGAGGCCAAGGCCTGTGTGAGAGCCACAATGACTTCAAAAGTATTCAGCTGTAAGCAGCGTTACCGTGAGCAGAAGTAATGTCACAGGTTAGACTTCAAAAGACAGAGCCGCCAGAGACCAAAACCAAGACCAGAGACTAAACCAAGACCACAGACCAATACCAAGACCAGACACCAGAGGACAATACCAAGACCAGAGACCAAAACCAAGACCAGAGACTAAAACCAAGACCAAGACCAGAGAGCAATACCAAGACCAGAGACTGAACCCAAGACCAGATACTAAAACCAATACCAGAGACAAAAACCAAGACCAGAGACTGAAAACCACCAGAGACCAAAACTACCAGAGACCAAGACCAGAGACAAAAACTAAGACCGATGAGCTGCGTAAGCCAGGAGATCAAACACATGAACTCAAAGCAGGTCTCAGACTAAAAGAAGAGAACACCAATGTGTGAGCAGCTGTTTGTTGGTAGGATCCAATTTTCCAGCTCAAATGTGTTCTATGAAATGAAGAGCCTCAAAGTAACTCAAATCTGCACAGCATCGTTTTAAACTGATTGATCCACAGAGTTTGTATTACACTTATACCCACATACCCGGTCATGAAGCATGTGTGTCGCTCTCAGAGCATAGAGAGAGAGACCAGAGAGAGAGACCAGAGAGAGAGAGACCAGAGAGAAACCAGAGAGAGAGAGACCAGAGAGAGAGACCAGAGAGAGAGACCAGAGAGAGAGAGACCAGAGAGAAACCAGAGAGAGAGAGACCAGAGAGAGAGACCAGAGAGAGACACCAGAGAGAGAGACCAGAGAGAAGCAAGGGTAAGAGACCAGTGTGAGATGAGAATAATACAAGAGAGAGACCAGAGAGAGACCAGAGAGAGACCAGAGAGAGACCAGAGAGAGACCAGAGAGAGACCAGAGAGAGAGAGACCAGAGAGAGAGACCAGAGAGAGACCAGAGAGAGACCAGAGAGAGAGAGACCAGAGAGAGACCAGAGAGAGAGAGACCAGAGAGAGACCAGAGAGAGACCAGAGAGAGAGAGACCAGAGAGAGACCAGAGAGAGAGAGACCAGAGAGAGAGACCAGAGAGAGACCAGAGAGAGACCAGAGAGAGACCAGAGAGAGAGAGACCAGAGAGAGACCAGAGAGAGAGAGACCAGAGAGAGACCAGAGAGAGAGAGAGACCAGAGAGAGAGAGACCAGAGAGAGACCAGAGAGAGAGACCAGAGAGAGACCAGAGAGAGAGAGACCAGAGAGAGAGAGAGACCAGAGAGAGACCAGAGAGAGACCAGAGAGAGACCAGAGAGAGACCAGAGAGAGACCAGAGAGAGAGACCAGAGAGAGACCAGAGAGAGACCAGAGAGAGACCAGAGAGAGACCCGAGAGAGAGACCAGAGAGAGACCAGAGAGAGACCAGAGAGAGACCAGAGAGAGACCAGAGAGAGAGAAACCAGAGAGAGACCAGAGAGAGACCAGAGAGAGATACCAGCGAGAGACCAGAGAGAGACCAGAGAGAGACCAGAGAGAGACCAGAGAGAGACCAGAGAGAGATACCAGCGAGAGACCAGAGAGAGACCAGAGAGAGACCAGAGAGAGACCAGAGAGGGAATCAAACCGTTCGGCAAGGAAACACTCAAAGAGAAAGACAGTACTCAACATTTTGAAACCTAAATGGCATTCTGACATTCACCAAGATCCAAACTGGATGGGTCATGCTTTAGATGACAGCAGTAAGCATACACAATTTACTCTTAATAAAGTTAGCTCAAAGTTTGGCTTTCCTCTGTGCTAAAGCAGCTCTCATCTATCCTCAGGTCTCCAGAACAGGTCCAGTCCTCTGTGCTGCTGTCAGAGGTCACCCTGCCTGACACTCACACACTCAGACACATGTTAGCCGCTAGGCGTGGTGTTCTAACCGAGGTCGCACCCATCTGTCACTTCCATTATCACAGTGACAGGAGTGTGGAAGGGGCTCGGTGGCTCCAGGAAGGAGAGAGACTGGTGTGTTCCAGTCAACACTGAATGAAAGACTCAGCCAGACACCTGTCCAAAGATCAGCTGAATAAACAACTAGAGAAGAAACCAGAAACAGTCCTTAAAAACATCCAATTCTCAGCACCAGCAAAATATAGTCAGACATTTTAAAACGTAGATGGGGCTAGAGTGCTTCTTGGATGTGAAAATAAAAAAAGGAAAAAAGTAAACTTATGATGCTCTTCAGTAGAGGGACCAAGGCACTCAAAAGTTGCCTTGAAAAGGTTAAAAAAGTGTCTCAAAGCAGATTTAAACAGAATGGTGCTGGTCACATGATCTGTGGGCCAGCCTAAAGTCACAAGGTTTTAAAAACATTGAAAGTCCCAAAAAGTGCAAAATATTATGTACTATTTGCATTACAATGTACAAAAATTGTATTCAATAATCTCAAAGTAAAAAAGAAAAAAAGATTCTCTATTAAAGCCTGGACATTGAGTGGCTTTTATATTACCAGTAGAACTTTCGCACACCTGGGAGCCTCTTCAGTCCTGATTCTACAGCCTCAGTCCTGGATCTCTGGATGTCTGCATCTCTGGTCTCTCTCGCTGGTGTCTTTCTGGTCTCGTTCTGTCTCTGGTTTCTCTCTTTGGTCGTTCTCTTTGTTCCCTTTCTGATCTCTCTCGCGGGTCTCTCTCTTGGGTCTCTCTCTGAGAGGTTTTACAGCGATAGTAGCTCAGTTGGTAGAGCATTGGCCTTTGAGCCAGAAGGTCGTGGGTTTGAGCCTGACTGTCACCATCTACTCCCACTGTCTGCTGTTGTTGTGTCCTTGGCAAGACACTTAACCTATGGGAACACCAGCCACAGTGGGGCGGCTGTAAAGTGCCAAAGTGCCGTTGTGTCCTTAGGCAAGACACTTTACCCCCATTGCCTAGAATGAGTCTAGACTGTGTGTGAATGGTTGGTGGTGGTCGGAAGGGCCGATGGCACAGACTGACTGCCACGCTTCTGTCAGTGTGCCCCAGGGCAGCTGTGGCCACAGCAGTAGTTTATCACCACCGTGTATGGAGTGAAAGAATAATGAGTGTCCAAAAAAGAACTATATAAAACCGATGCATTATTATTATTATTATTAAGACAACATAGAACTGCCTCTCAGAGGATTTACCGTATTCTGGGTAACTTTAGAGCACATCAGCTCTGTGATAAACCAGGGACCAGTGTATCTCAAAGACTAGATTTGTGTAATTGTAGTGAACCATGTGGACTCTGAGGACTTGTCCAGAGGGAGTTACCTGGGTCGCAGGAGTCAGGGCAAGGCGTCCAGTCGCTGAAAGGGCTCACGATGCAGTCCTTCTTACAGGACAGCTGACAGGGGCGCATGGTGCTGGGCCGGGGGGCATCAGGGCACCTGCACAAAACATTTTTATTTTAAAGACACCATTTATTTTGCTCTAAACAATGAAAACTAAATCATGTCTTCACAAACCCAGGCTTATATTTGTCCTAGTTCTGGTTCATCCTAACTTTGAAACCACAAAGATGTTGTAAAATCCATGTTACGAGTTAAAAACTCGTGTTAAAAACCGGTTCAAAGACTGCCTCATATCTGGGCGACAGTAGCTCAGTTGGTAGAGCATTGGCCTTTGAGCCAGAAGGTCATGGGTTCGAGCCCACCTCAAGACCTTCTACACCGACTCCCACCGATGTCTGCTGCCGTTGTGTCCTCAGGCAAGACACTTCACCCCCATTGCCTAGAATGAGTCTGGTGTGTGTGTGAATGGTTGGTGGTGGTGGGAGGGGCCAATGGCACAGACTGGTTGCCTCGCTTCTGTCAGTGTGCCCCAGGGCAGCTGTGGCTACAGTAGTAGTTTATCACCACCGTGTATGGAGTGACTGAATAATGACACATGTGAAGTGTCTTTGAGTGTCCAAAAAAGCGCTGTGTAAAACCGATTCATTATTGTTATCTCTTCAACCACGTCCTCCTTGTCTTGCTATTCCTGCCTCCATACTTGCCAATTTCTGAAAATGGCTAAACTGAGTTTAAACTGAAAGTGTTTTCAATCACACAATGTGTTTGGTATTTGCCTACAAAGAGTGCAAAAGTGATGTTCGCTGCTTGCCTTGGTGTGTATACAGTGGGGCAAAAAAGTATTCAGTCAGCCACCGATCTCCCACTTAAAATAATGACAGAGGTCTGTAATTTTCATCATAGGTTCACTTTAACTGTGAGAGACAGAATGTGAACGAAAAATCCAGGAATTCACATTGTAGGATTTTAAAGAATTTATTTGTAAATAATGGTGGAAAATAACAAAAATTCAACTCAATACTTTGTAATATAACCTTTGTTGGCAATAATAGAGGTCAAACGATTACTATAGGTCTTTACCAGGTTTGCACACACAGTAGCTGGTATTTTGGCCCATTCCTCCATGCAGATCTTCTTGAGAGCAGTGATCACGGACTTTCAGCTCCCTCCACAGATGTTCAATGGGGTTGAGGTCTGGAGACTGGCGAGGCCACTCCAGGACTTTCAAATGCTTCTTACGGAGCCACTCCTTCGTTGCCCGGGCGGTGTGTTTGGGATCATTGTCATGCTGGAAGACCCAGACACGTTTCATCTTCAAAGCTCTCACTGATGGAAGGAAGTTTTGGCTCAAAATCTCACGATACATTCATTCTTTCCTCTCTCAGACCTCTGGCATTATTTTAACTGGGAGAACTTGCACAATCGGTGGCTGACTAAATACTTTTTTGCCCCACTGTATGTACATGTATATGTGTAGGTGTCTGCATCGAAATGAAATTACCCCACTGCGGGACGAAGAAAGGACCTTCTTCTTCTTCTATTTTGAATAGATGTGTGTTCCAAGTGGTAACACAGGATTGTATTTATTAACAATGTGTATTGCATGACACTGTGTGTAGTGAGCAGGAGAAAGTGTGTTGCAGAAGCAGCAAGTGAGTGGCAGAAATTAAAGTAAAGTACAAAGCAGTACTTTTGTTTAGGGAATAGTTAGACTGTATTAGGTTTAGTACAAAAGCTTCAGGCTCTGCAACTTTGGTCGAGGACATGTGTTCAAAAAATAGGAACAAAAGGGTAAATACTAGAATTTTGTTTCTACATTTTTAACATTGTTTTTGTTTCTCTTCAGGGTGTCCAGATGATGCCTCCGCCTACACGAGGCCCTTTGAGGACCTGAGTAACGCCCCTGGTCCTCACCCTCTGTTATAACACTGAGATCAGAGGGATGTTTGTGGGTCGTACATCAAGGAGATGCGGCGTCATGTTCACTTTCCTGCAGATAATTCCATGTACGACGCCAGCTCAGCGTTTTGGGAAGGCCTCAGTCATCCCTCATTCACGGAGGTTGCATCCATCAAACACACTCCTCCTCTGGACTTGAATCTCAGATGGATTAGAACATGACTCATACAGAGCGCTTTTGCCCCAGACACAAACATGAGACTGCAGCAACACAAACCATTAGTTTAACTGTTCAAAGCAATGTTAATATAATCTAAAAAGGGGTGATTAGCATAATATTCTGTTGGGCGGCACGGTGCCTCTCAGCAAGAAGGTCCTGGGTTCGAATCCCGGTCGGACCAGGGCCTTTCTGAGTGGAATTTGCATGTTCTCCCCGTGTCTGCGTAGGTTTCCTCCGGGCACTCCGGTTTCCCCTACCGCTAAAAACATGTACAATAGGTCAGGCACCTCCTGTACTGGCGACCCCGTTCCCATCTCTGTGTGGAGTGAGAGACAAATGCCCAAAAATTGTAAACCGCTTTGTGACTCTGGTCTGTGAAAGGCGGTATATAAATAAAGATTACTAAATAATTACTTACTTGGATCTCTTTAAGAACAACTCTAGTCCCTCCCTGGTCTCTCTCTCTCTTGTCTCTCTTTCTAGTCTCTCTCTGGCTGTTTTTCCTCTGTGGTCTCTCTCTCTCTGGTCTCTCTTTGTAGTTTCTATCTCGGGCCTCTCTCCGGTCTCTTTCTGGTCTTTCTCTCTCTCTGCGTACAGCTCTGCAGAAGGCCAGCGAGTCATGCCTGGTGGCTCTGTCTGAGGACACCAATCATACACGCCAAGAGGTGACCATCACGCCAAAGGACATCGAGCTGTGGTTTATGTTTATGAGACAAGAGGAGATGCAGGAAACACAAGAGACCGGTTTATGTAATTAGGGCTATTGTCAGAGCAGAGTTTATGGACAGTTATGACTCATCCAGGTTTAGTGGCAATAGAAGACATATTTACAGTCAAAATACATGGCTAACTTAAAGAGCGACTAAACACCAGTGCACAGCCTTACTCCGCCCACATTAACATTTGAAAAGTTTCTTTTAAAAGGGCGTTGCCTGGAGGACTAAGGGACAAGAAGGGGGGCTTAGAGTTGGGCGTGGTCTGGGCTGTGATTGACAGCTCACTTGTCTCACTAAAAAAAACAGACATTGTCATTGCTGCTTAAAGCAATAGTTTACAGACCAGAAAGTCTCATTCCACCCTTGTTTACACACTAAGATAATTGTAAAGCTACACACCTGAACCTAATCACACTCAATAATCTCAGAATCACTCATGTAATTTAATTTTAATCCACTAGATGGCGCCAGAATACTCCAAACTGCAGCTGGGGCGTGTGTGAGAGTTGAATGGGTTCACATCACTGGCTCTGACAGACTGACGTCACACAAAACAACTGATGTCATAGAGAACTTCAGAGTCAATGGAGAGGCCAGGACCAAATTCAAATGTAGTACCACCAAAAAGGTTGAGAGGGCGCCACACAGCGTTTTTTGGCTCAAAAGTGATATTTTATCTAATTTGAACTAAAATGTCAAAAAATGACCAGGATATGTAGAGAGCACTACAATAAACATATTTATGCAGTTAATGAGTTGGAAAAAGTTGATTTGGTGTTTAGTCGCTCTTTAAAGTAGGCATGCTAACGTGAGCTAATGTTTGCCTCATTGACTGTAATTAGACGGACAACACTAACCCTGGCACATTCACCTTCCCAACAGGGATGGTGAAGAGAGGGTGAAGTATCCATGGTTTAGCACTCTATTGTGATATTTTCTTTGTAAATCCAGATATGAGCTTTCATTAATGGGGGGAACTTACAGCTTCTTGCCTTAGCTGTCTTAGTAACACGTCTGTACCTGTTGAGACGCAAAGCTATCACAACAAAACAAACGCCCATGTAAGGAAATTGGCTCCAGCTAGCTTATGTGGAAATTGGCCCCTAAAATATAAAAATAAAAGTGTATTTGTATGCTTTCAACAGAGAAGATGTCTAAACTAACTCCTGTGTATGTGGCCCTTAGAGGTTCTTTTGCAGTCTCATCCAGCCAACTTCAGCTCCACCAGTACAATTATGCTCTATGTTGTTGTAAAGCTCAGAATCCTAAAGTAGCCCTCTTACTTTACGGTTTGGCCACCCCTGCTATAGAGTGGAGGCAATATTTCCATGGAAACAGCAGCTTAAATCAGAGATGCAAGTCTTTAGTAAATACATTATATATTCTTCAAGTAGCTCTTATGTGTGGTCTTTCGTCTATGAAAGAAAAATGCATCTGAGAGAACAGCAAGGGGTTGATCCAATTTCATTTTAAATCTATGCATTTATATCACAGAATAAATAGTGTAGATCCAGGACGGAGGCTGTTGAACCAGGACTTAGGCTTGATCCAGCCTTGAGTTTGGTATGGTTCTTTTTGGATATTGGGCTCACTTGTTATACAGTACAGACCATAAGTTTGTCACCGGACCTGAACCCAATCCAGATGGTTTGGGGTGAGCTGGACCAAAGAGTGAAGGCAAAATGGCCAACAAGTGCAAAGCATCTCTGGGAACTCCTTCAAGACTGTTGGAAGACCATTTCAGGACCTCTTGAAGCTCATCAAGAGAAAGCCAAGAGTGTGCGAAGCAGTAATCAGAGCAAAAGGTGCTACTTTGAGGAATCCAGAATATAACACATATTTTCAGTTGTTTCATACTTTTACTTTTACTATTTTTTAGTGTACTGTACATAATTATACATGTGTTAATTAATAGTTTTGATGCCTTCAGTGTGAATCTACATAATCATGAAAATAAAAATAAAAACTCTTCTTGAATGAGAAGGTGTGTCCAAACGTTTGTACCGTACATGTCTATGTCTTGGTCATAAGCAGTCATGTGAGATCACACTGGAGAATAAATTGTAACTGAGATATTGCGTATTAAAATTGGTAATTGCATCAGTGGTTATAAGCGCTCACATCAATTTAAAACTTTTAAGGACTTGTAATAGTCTGACAACAGGTGTCATGGTTACGGCTTCTGTTTCCATGGATCCGGCCGTCAACGAGAAGTTGGTGTGATCCACAAATA